TTGGACCCTTAGGGCAACCCTAAACTCCCAGAGCTCACCCGAGCAGGTTCTGCCCGTCAGCATCGCAACCGACTACAGGGGTCACACTAGTTGTTTCAATACATCCCCTTGTCGTGCCTAGCCTTCTAATTCCTATATGATACTGTCTATATATATATATATATATATACTAATTATGAGTGATATCTTATATACTGCATGTTCTCTGTTCTATAGTATGCATTCTGTATGAAGGAACTATACGAACACCAAGCAGTACAGAAACGACTGTGCGCATCGTTCGTGTGTTGCCGCAGGCCATAACGACTCAAGCTTCCAAAAGGCCCTTGACGAGATCTGGCTCAAAGTAGTCCTTATTCGGGCGTGGGGCGATGGGGTCAATGGTACCCTTACAAAAGCCTTGTAGAACTCTTAGAGAAGCCTTAAGTGTACATGTGATAGAATTACACTGATAGAACGCATATGGGTAGGTCCCCTGTGGGATCCTTTTAATAAGGTTTCCTCTTGTTTGGTGGTTCACATAGAAGGGACCCTAAATTTAGAGATAGGGATAATCTTGGTGCAAGACTAGAACACGCTGCAAGGTCCACCTTCCCACAATCCGATCACAAAGGGCCCATTCCTTATAATGGGTAATGCAGGATTTTGTCCATCAGCCATACCAAGCTATCAATGATTCATGAAACTCCTGCAAAGCAGGTGCAGCGAGCCTCCAAGGATAATCCAGAAGCGGACGCGAGCGATGGGGCACAGCACAGGCGGGATGAAGGACTCTCCGGTCAAGTTGCTGATCAACTGCCCAGGGGCTTAAGATCCCTGGAATACGGGTGTTTACGTGGATTCAGAAGATTACTTGATAATATGGCTTTGACCAGGCCTCCAAAAAAATTCAGAAGAAATAAGAAGTAGACTAGGGTTCCTTTGAAGAGTCCCATAATTCTACATGGGATTAAGGGTTCCCTTAAATTGTTCGATCAGGGCGTTAAAGGGCTCCTTCCAAGTGTCTTAAAAGGTATCTATATTATAGCATGTTTTAAAGTTTTAAAGGTTCTGTAGGAGGAGGTGCCTTTAACGGTTCGAAAAGGGGCCTGGGCTTCGTTACATGAAACAACGACTTACCATGGTGCTACGAGGGCCATAAGGGCTATGACAATTGTGCCGACCACTAACATAGACATAAGTAGACGAGGAACAAAAAGGAATGGCATCTATTGGCTATTTAGGCTTGCATCAATCTCGCCTTCACAGTTGCCGCTTAGCCGGGTGTACATTGATAGATGAGTGTGCTATGCCGGACCACCGGTCTCTGAAAGTCCTTTGAAGGGCGTGTGCCCTGCAAATTTGCATGCTGCACACGATACGCCCTACCCTGCCATCTGGCTGACTTGAAGAACCTCTTGAACCTCACAGCTTTGACGCCCCTAAGACATAAGCCCAAAACACGAAACCCCACAACCCAGAACCGAACCACTTAAGCACAGGGAACTCTACGGCGAGGTCTTGCGCGTTAATGTATTGTACGAAGCCTCGGTAATTCAGACTCATCATCTACATCTTGAGCGTGAAAGCACGAGGATGTATGTGTATACAGAAATGTGAATAGTTGTATACACTATAAGTACTACGACTCGCAACAAATAAGACTCGTAACACGACAGCAATTACATTATTATTAGGAATGATACTAAACATCAAAATGAAAGTAGTAACGTGAATATGTATATATATATATATATATGTTTACATACACGCATATACACATAGTTGCACACGTACATGCATAAATGGCATATGTCCATGTGTGTTGCCTGTGCTAATTCTGCAAGCAGCAGTTCCTAAGTCGACAGCCTCCACCTCCACCATCGCGCCGGGAGCCGCCATGGTGCAAACAAACTGCTCGCAAAGTCTAGCCATCTTCGTCCTTCTGCTGGGCATGCGGCCAACTTCCCTGAATCATAACCATACTGATCCCTTGAGCAGTAGACTCAAACCCTAAGACCCTGATATAGGGCCCCAAATAATTACCAATACTATTTTGGTGGTTCTACTGCAAGACCAGCTGCTAATGCGGCACTGCTGCTGCTGCTGCTGCCGCTGCTACTGCTGTACTGCTACGGCTACTTCCACTGCTAAAGCTACGGCTACTGCTTCTACTACAGCTACTACTACTACTACTACTACTACTACTACTACTACTACTACTACTACTACTACTACTACGACTACAACCACTGCGACTACCACTACTACTATCCTACGCAAAGCGCGCATTCTCATCATGACTCAACTATTCGTGGCAACTCGTGCTTCTCCCTTAGACTGAGTCTTGAAGCTACTTCTCTGCTAATGGCAGCGGCGGCTTCTGGGGGGCGGAGGTCCCCCTCAGCTGCGCGCTGCTTGGCCCGCAATGGCTATGCGCCTTTCGAGACTCAATCTGGTTGAGCGTTAAGAGCTGCGAGGATGACGATTCTGTTGATTCTGGTTGCAAATAAGGCTCTAACTTAGATCTTGTTTTGGGGCGTAGGAGTTTGAGGGTGTAGGGGTTTAGGGTTCAGGCGGGGGCTTTACCCTCAGACTCCAAATATACAAGCAGTAGCTATAGCTCTAGCTCCCCAAGCCCTACTCTAAGAACAAAGCCCATTGTGATTTAGGATGATTTAGGTTGTGGATTGCTGTCGGTCGGATTTCTGCTCTGGGATCCTGGCGGTTAGGAGGGTTCTAGTGAGCAGATTTACGGTTTTGGAAAACGCAGAAGTCTCTTCTGGTCGCCTTTAGGATGTAGAGGCCTTAACAGACGACGCCTTGCAGAGACCGCAAGCACGTGGTACCAGGCCGAAGTCCTGTAGAAAGCGAGGCACAGGAAGACCTCATGAAGTATACTCTACGAAAACCCAGCGTAGTAGAGGGAACGTCAAATGCCCTTCTATATGCAGAAAACCCAATAAAACTCCCATTCCTCCTGCTAGAAAGGGCTCACCCAAAACCCTAAACCACCTAAGCCTAAACCCTAAAATCCCCTAGCCTAAACCCTGAGCCCTAAACACGAGGCAAAAAGGCTGCCACCAGGAAGCAGTTGTTGGGTCCGATACAGTCATCCACCACCTCTTTGGGCTTCCCATTCCTAGACTAGGTAGGTTCCCCACTAGCCCCTTACGAATAAAAAAGGTGCCCCTTTATCCTGGTAGTCGGTTTTGAAATCAGGCGGCACCAGTACTTGGGAACCTACTACAAGGGCCTTACAGGTTCAGGGAATTTAGTTGTTTCGGGCTTTGGCTGAGGGTTCGGGGTCGGCCAAAGGGTGGTCTTCAGGATCTGAGAAGTATCTGTTTTGCCAGGGGGCTTGAAATTGAAAATCAGATGCCCTTCAGGCTTTCATGGGCCTTAAGGGCTTTTGCAGCTTGACATTTCCTGTGCGAAGTCTCGCAACGCTTCACTGACCCCCTAAATCGTGGAAATCGGCTGCCCCCTACTCCACCAGCCAAGCGCCCAACGAACATTCACACCCCACCTTGAATCCTACAGCCGAGCAGTTGCTTGAACAGCCTTATGCGCGTGATAATTACTGTAAAGACCTTTAAAAGTTCCAATCGATTTCGGTGGCATTTATCGCATACCTGAAGATCTAAAACAAGAGTCCCTCAGGTATGCTACTCTCATTGTTGTACGGCCCGCGTATTACTCAGCTTTCCCATTCGGGATCCTTGTTATCGTGGGGAGCCCCAACCCCAAAGCGCTGAACTCAAAGCTCGCAGCCAAAGTCAGTCGAACGATTCTAACACTCCAGCTCTGAACCACTAGCAAATGAAGCTTGGAGGGGTGTGGCGTTGAAAGTCCCTCGGTGTAATAGAGGGGTTTTCAGGGTTTAAGGATCGTGAAGAACATATTGGTCATTGTCAAGCCCTTGTAGTACTGATGCAGACTACTGGGCGGGTGCACAGTTTTGTACTCCCTGAGCCAGCACCAACCAGATCAACACCAACGAGCTCCGGCTGGGTTTTCTTCCAGTTCGTTTCTACGTATGCACAGGACTCACCTTTGCAAGCTCGAACCACAAACCCACCCACCACAAAGCTTAAACAACATACATACCCGAATCGAAGCCCTCGCCGAAAAAAAAACAAAAAACACCCTAAATGCGGACCAACATAATCAGCAGATATCGTATCTGTAAACCCCCAATCAAATTGATACCCGAAGCCAGTGGCAGTGCAAGCAAGGACATCGTCTCGCGGCCTTGAAGCCCATGCCAGTGCTAATGGCCTCGCCCCCAAAAAGGGGGAGGGGGGGCGGGGGAACATGTAGGTTTCAGGGAGATCTGCGATATCTTGGGTTGAAGGGCTGAAGATTCTGCAAGGGTTCTGCAGAGGGACCCTAGGCGGCCTATGAAGTCACACTTTCTCGGGCTTCTCTTGCAACGAGGCTTACGGAGTGCAGGGTTCCAGGATGGCTCCTGTTCAGGTCCTCTTAAGATGGTTTCAAAGCCGAGGTGAGGGATGCTAATATAGGGCCGTTATAATTGGAATTAGGGTTTTGGTGCCCATTATACTACATTTATGACAAGGAACAAAATAGTATTGGTAATTATTATAGTATCCTTGAGGCCGGGAGCACCATAAATATCAAGGCTCATATACTTTCATACTATGGTTCCCTATCGTCCGGCTATGGTAACCGAACCTTCAACCCCAAAAGCCGAGTTCAGATGTCGAGTCCCCCCTTTACACATGTTCCAGCCAGTTTTGCTGTGGCTGCATCCTTGGTATGGGATGTGAAAGGGGATTTAGGGCTTTAGGACGGGAAGGCTTGGGGCGGGGTTTATGGTTTGGGGGCTGTCTCCGCCCGCACATCTATAGGGGCCTATATGGGGTGGTCTATACGGATTTATGTAATTATGAGGGATCTATAGGGGATTATAAAGGCTCAGCTTATCGGGATCCATGGGGGATGCCTGAGACTCGGCCCCTCCTGTGCCTTTTCGACGCGCGAAAACGGTGCTGCAGCTAGGAGTCAGCTGAGGCGCATGGAGGTCGCACACCCCACTTGCACTTTGCTTCCTCCATGGATACAGGGAACACGTCCTTGTTGTGCCGGTTCACCCACCACACTGCAGTGCCACATGGCTTCTCCCCCATGTACCTGGGATCTACCCCGTCTGCATCATCTGCTGCATACCAGCGTGTGTCACACGACAGGCGAACCTTGGGTGGATCACTGTGATTTGACACAGAACCATGCATTGTGTCTAAACGGAAGACGACGACGTCAGACAGCTGGAATGAAGAGGTCAGAAGGGGACAGCGGTATGCCAGAATTTCCCGAACATCTTCAGTAAACCATCCAGTTCCTTGAATCCCAGCCGTGTCCACATCGATCTCAGAGTAGGTTTCTCGAACCTTCTTATAGGACTCTGCAGAATGTGAGCCACCTACCACGCAAAGTCCGCCCATCTGAAAATCGACATCTCCAAGTGGAATCCAGCAAGTCACTCCCTGGCGGCTCCCTTTGTTGAGGTACACGGAATCCGTGTGGAAACCACTGTTCTCCCCCAAGCCCACAGCCCGAAGCCACTTGTAATCCAAAGTTCTCACCTTTTTGGCATCGAACTCATCGCAACCCAGCGCTTCAGCCATCAGTCGCTTCAGAGGCTCGCTCTCCACCAGGGACAGCATCTCGGGGCAGCGTGCCAACTCCGCTGGCACCGCGCCTTGGTCCTGGCGTGATATAGATTATCTTGCAATAAGCATGATGTTGTGGTATTGTTGCTGTACAATACCAGTATGTTGCAGTATGTTATAACTGCCCTTCCTTCTCGTATCCAAGATGGCACATGTTGCACTGAACAGGAACCAAAAAAATGATAAGTTAAGCTCCAGGGTCGGTGCCTTCCTGTGTTTCTGGGTTCAGACAGCCATCCGTGCCCTCCAAGACCATCCCAGAATCTTCCAGGCGGGCTAAAACTGCCTTCCGGGCAGCTGACACCAAGTCCAAGGGCAGAACCTCCTGAAGGGATCATGACGACAGAGGGATCCTATACCGAGTAGACAAGATACCGTTCTGAGAAGGAGATGGTAGAATAGGCCTTAGGGCTCTTTGAGTTCTTAGCCCCTCGGTCCTTTAAGTACAAGTAGCCCTCTTCCTCCAGCCTTTGCTTGAGCCTGCCCGTGCCCAGAAGGTCGTTAGTGGGCACCATGAGCTTGACATCCTCGCTCGGCCCGACTTGCAGCACGTGGGAGCCGATCCGACATGACATGGGCGCGAAGTGGATATGTGGCGACAAGGTACGAACAGACATACTCACTAGCTTGCGATTTCTGAGGCCTAATCATCAGTCCAGCAAACTCCTTGGCCGTCCCGCTCGGACAGAACGAAGCTGACATGTCTTGAGCTAGAAGGCCCGAGCATGCGAGCAAATGCCCTAGTGCTTTAGACCCTACACCATCCTACAAGTTAAACCCTACCTATAGTCTCCATTGTAGTTCCCTTCTTTGGTTAACCAGTTTTATGGTTAGGATCCTATAATAGAGATTTGGGTTAACCCAAAAAAAGGAACTACAATGGAGACTATAGGTAAACCTGAACCCTATAAACACTACACCATCCTCCAAGCACGGCAAACTGTTCAGACTTTCACTCTGTCCTCTGATGCCCCGACCTATTCGAAAGCACCTGCAACATGTCTTCTATAGAGTTTTTTCAAATTGCATAGGGTTCCTTTAAAACGTCCTTGGAAGGTCTGGTAAGAGCCACTCCAAGGGTTCTATGATAAGATCTGGGGCCTTCATAATGGAATAGGGTCTGGGGCCCTACTTACATCGGGAATACAAGGAGATTCTGTTGCTAAGTGTTCCGACCCGAATATATAGGATTTGCAGAAACGGGTTGGGGTTTACGCCTTGGGGGGGTTATGGCTTGTATATATGGTCCTGAGCTTATGCTTTTGCTCGCGCGTTAAGCTTTAGGCTTCAATGGTAACGGATCTCGTCGAAGAGCTAGGATCAAAAGTCCAGAATCCCGTTTCAGGGCTTAGGATCCGGGTTTACGGTCATGGGTTTCCTCTGGTTTAGGATCCGGGTTTAGAAGATGTTGGGTTTAGGATCCGGGTTTACACCTTGCTTTAGCTTTACCCAGCGTCCTGCCAGTTCATGCTCGACAAGCTTGCATTGCGACATTAAATGATCTCCGAATCCCAAAGCGAACATTATTCTTCAGACTTCCTTAGTAAATCTTTACTAAAAGGTACCCCAACATCCTATGCTAATCAATCATGAAGGCCCTTAAAGTATGCAAAGCCTGACCCCTAGTGCGGTGCCTTGGATTTCAGGGGCATCTTCAAGAGAGTGCCCTCTGGTGGAAGGCAGTCCTGGCAACGGACTTCGAGTTTCAGGGATGCATTGGAGTACGAATGGGTAGTGGTCTCAAAATTAAGATACCTTTTTGGGTACCCTAGATAGTAGGTGCCGTATTATAATAGGGACCCCAAAAAGACCATAATTTTGACAACCACCCGAGTGGCTAGGAATTGAACAGGGGAGCTCATGTGAAGATAGTCCTGGCAAGAAGTAGTGACTAGAAGAGCTCCAAATGCAGCTGCTATCATAGATATACAACCTTCAAACTATTGTGCAAGCAAACCGGCTGCAACGGCCGAAACCATACTGACCCGAAGTCCTTAGACCCTATAAACAACCCTAAGCACCTACTCCCTCACGCCCTTCCGTAGTCCGCCTCGTCCTTATCCGGGAGCCAGTTTGGATGCTTGGGATCTGCAGGGACGTAGTCGGGCAGCGCATCGGTGATCTGGGCAGATCAGAAGCTGCGGCCCGTTATACTATACTTATAATTAGGAACCCCACGGTATGTCACCGATCACTCATTATTCTTTTTTCATATAGGGGCCTTAATAATTAGAATAAGGTCTGGGGGCCCATTATGCTATACTTATAATAAGGAAAAACCCCCACATTGGTATAGGTAATTATTTAGGCCCCTATATTACACCACAAACTCTGAACCCTAAACCCAACTCTAGACCCAACATACTAAACCAGGCCCTGAAACCTCTGCGACAAAAAAACACTTTTAACCCAGTCTACCAACCCTACACCCTATACTCTAAATCCTTAACCCGAAACCCTAAACCCCTAAACCCAAACCACCCTTTGTACCAAGCTGCATTCTGCCAGTACTTGAGCTGCGGCCCAAGGAAACAGCCACCAGTGCCACCGACCGAGAATCGGCTGAGGACCTAAGTCGAAGATGGAGGGGCCATTAAAGTTTAAGGGTTTCGGGTTCCAGGTTTCAGGGTTAAGGCTTTGAGGTTTTAGTTTCAGAGTTTAGGGTTAATGGTATAGGGATTCGGGCTAAGGGTTTAAGGGGGTTTAGAGAGTTTAGGGTTTACGGACTTAGGGTTGCTTTAAATGGATCTATGGTTACGGATTGCCATAGAGCTCCACTAAGGGCTCCGTTCGGAGTACTATAGAGGTTGCTGAAAGAAACATGTAGGGATACTACTTGGAGGTTCATGGGTAGTTAGAAGTAGGGTTATAGGTAGGGTAACTATACTTATAGCCCATATTAGGGGACTTGTAACCCCACTTATAACTACCCCTGAACCTCCAAGCAATTATAAAGCTTATCACAAGCTGACCTCCTGGGATTCAGGCTTCGGGATGCCCCGCTCAAGGAGCGCAGGTATCTAAAGGGAACTCCAGAAAGTAGGAATATGGATTAATGGTAGGATCCCCTATAATTTACCTTAAAGGGGTTACGATAATGATATTCCAACTTTCTGGCTTCTACTGTATGCATAGTGGAATGATCTGACATGATCACATATTGGCAGTGACCATCTGTTACTGTATATGTAGCCCTGCATTTGTGGCATGTGTAGGTATAAGTTTGAAGAGTCTCAGGTTTAGGGGCATGTACAAGTTCTATGGCATGCACGTATGTATGCATGCATGTATGTAATTATGCCTGCCTGCCTGCCTGCCTGCTTGCCTGTCTGCGTATCTATGTCTGTATGTCAAATGTATGCATAATGTATGTAGACGCATGCGAATATGTATATGTATAGCACCCTGTATATATATATATATATATATATATATATATATATATATATATGTGTGTGTGTGTGTGTGTGTGTATATATAGGTATATATGTATATATGGGCAGTTGTCGAAAGTAAGGTGCTTTTGTGGGAACCCTAAATGATAGGTGCCGTATTATAGCAAGGACCCACAAAGGGGCCATAATTTTGTCAACCACCCATACATACATACATACATACATACATACATACATACATATATATCTATATATATATATATATATATTAATTTTATATATATATATATATATATATATATATATATATATACAACCCTACATACAGACGCAAATGCACAGAACCAAACATACATACATACATACATACATAAATACATGTACACATATATATGTATAGATATACACATACACATACATGTCATACATACATACGTACGTACATACACACAAACAAACATACATGCCTGCATACATACATACATACATACATGAAGTGTTTAATACTATGTATGTGTGTGACACATGCGTGCATGCATGCATGCATGCATACTGTATTACACACATACATGCACACATAAATAAATGGATACATACATACATATGTACATACATACATACATACACACATACACACACACACACGCACACAAACAAGCGGACAAGCATAGATAGAGGCGTACACACATACGCACATACATACGTACATACATCCATACATACATACATACATGCGTGCATACATACATTGGAGAGATTCCTAAACTTCAGCTTGCAGGCCATAATATAGACAATGTGGGAACAAGCCCTAAATTCTCAACCCTCGCGGTAGCCTGATAGAACCCTTGGAGTATTGAACTCGGAAGATTGGGCTAGTGTCCTTCCTCGGTCACTGGGAAAGCTTGCAGCTTGAAATTCTTTTGACAAGGGAACGTAAAAGCCCTCAACGGTTTAGGATTTATAGGGTCTCGGGTAAACTCGAAAACACGATATCCCAAAGCCCAAAAGAAGAAGCCAACAGCTCGAGGAGTTCGAATCTGCTGCTCCGGCCTTTGGCATGGTTTCGGACACCTTCGGGTTTTCATTACGACTCCAGCTGCAGGAGTCGTCAGGGCTTCACAGGTTTTGGGAGCTTAGGGTCTTTTTCTTCCGCAACATTGGGCGCTTCTGGCCCAAACTTCAAGGGGGCAGCCTGCCTTTGGCATGGTGCTCAAGCCCGAAACTACTCGTTTGGACAGGTTTGCCTGGCTTCACAAATCATGGACTCTGACTCAAACGACCATACCGGGTATCCCAGCTGCTTAACTTCGGTTTGGATTTAGGCCTGCTCAACTCTACTTCCGGGCCCCCAAATGTCACCAACAAAGTACATCATGTGACATGTGGGTGTGCAACACGGTAGCGACCCAGTTTGCTCCCGAGTCAGGGGACATAGTAATCATCAGAAAAGGGTTCTGGGGTAGATTATGGTATGTATATACATCGTATGTCTATGTATGTATGTATGTATGTATGTATATATATATACATATGTATGTATCTATACATATATATATATATATGTCAACATATACACATATATATATATATATATATATATATAGATTTATAGATTTATACATACTTACGTAAGGTACTGCAAGGCATAGCATTGGGTGAAGCTCCAGGCCCCTGCCTTAGCTCCTCGAAGCCTTGGGAGCAGAAATGGCTCCGAACCAACTGAGCAAAGCCCAGGTCTTCGACTCCAAAGACTGGGAGATGTGGAAGTAGGCGCAGCCTGGTTAGGGTTTAGGTTTAGGGTGTAGGGTTTAGGGTTTTGGGTGTAGGGTTTTGGGTGTAGGGTTTAGGGTTTAGGGTTTAGGGAATGGGTTAGTAGGGAATGGAGGAATGGGGTACAATTATAACCACTATTACTACCAGTCTTCCATTCCCTACTAACCAAGGGTAAGAAGACTGGGAGATGTGGAAGTAGGCACAGCCTGGGAGCTCCCCTCTATGGGGGGGGCCTTAAGGATTAGAATAGGGTTTTGGGGGCATATTATACTATGGTGTGGAAGTAGGCGCAACCTCGGAGCTCCCTAAACCCTGAACCTCTGCACCCTGGATTCCTAAAGCCCTAAAACGCTGAACCGTAAACATGATGTAGGCGCAACCTGTGAGCTCTGCTTTGAGATTCATGGGTAGTTGACAAGCTGGGCTTACAAGTAGGGTATCTATAAGTATCAGCCATACTAGGGAACTGCTGTGACTGGGAGGAAAGGTGGAAGTAGGCACAGCCTGGGAGCTCACCACTATGGGGGGGGGGGCCTTCAGGATTAGAATAGGGGTTTTGGGGGGGGCATATTCATACTATGATGTGGAAGTAGGCACAACCTCGGAGCTCATAGGAAATTCTACTGGGCCTCGTCGATTGGGGTCTAAGGTTTCCGGGCATAACCTGCGAGCTGTTTTTGAAATTCTGCATGATGATGACTGTGGTTCGTAAATGAGTCCGGCAACTCTTCGTGCTATCCATGCCTACACCAGTTGCATAAGCTTATAAACCCGAGCCCTTGACCCCTAATCCCTCAACCCCACCCTAACAAAGAACGTCTAGGCTGCTGTGCTGGGAATGGTGGTAACTTAAGACTTAAGCCTTCTGTGTGCCTTGGCTCTAAATTATGGCCAGGGATTACCTCGTTCAGATACATAGATCCGTTTAGGGATCGACTTTCCGAACTGACTGGAAGCCTCCTTTGAAACAGCAACGTAGAGCCCCAAAGCCCTTCAGGAGTAGGGTTCAGGGTTTTGGGTTTAGGGTATAGGCTTCAGGGTTTTGGTTTCCCAGCACCTGCACCAGAGCCAAGCAGCAAGGACCAGACACATCGACCACCCAGCGGAGATAGCGAATTCCAATCTCCTTGCTTCACTCGTTAAGCAGAGTCTTAGCCTCAAAGCTTTGGGAACATCATAGAGTGGCTGCAATTGTCAGAATACGGGTTTTTGGGCATATTCGACTCAAACTATAAGGAATCTTTGTGTTGGTTATTCCGGCTCCACCTCCAAATACGATCCTCTAAGACCCAATGAGCGGAACACAAAGTATTCCAATGCATGGCTTCTACTTGGTGGATTCAGTGAGCTGTGCAGTTACGAGTTCGACCTGTTATGAATCCCTGGTCAACGCTATGGGTCCCTTATAATGGATCCCTCTAAGTCCCTTAAAGACCCCTGTTGTTGCCTTATCAACCCCGACAGGCCCTTTAGGTCCCTTTATAAGCTCTTCCTCAAGCAAAGCCTCGTTGGGCTTGGGCGGTACCGGCTGCGTGGTGGCACGAGCAGCCCGGAACATCGCCTGCGGGCACGGCATCGGGGTTCAGGTTTTAGGGTTCAGGGTTTAAGCTTCCAGTTTTGCTTGTTGTGGTTTTTAAGGGCTGTTTTTAGGGTTCAGAACTTAGGGTTTAGAGGGTTTGGGGTTTAGGGTTCAAGGCTTACAGCTTCAGAGTTTGCGGCTTAGGGTTTTGGTGTTGTCGTGCATGTAAGGTTCTGGGGAGTGCATGTACGGTCTTGAGTTCAGTGTCCGCAGTCACAGATCTTATACAACGAAAAGCTGGATCCCAACCTGGATCCTAACAAATACTCATCCTGTTGATAGTATGAGGACTTCCCAGTAATGCTCAGTAGGGGATCCTGGATATTCGGAGCACATATATGGAAGTACTGTACCACGACATCTGGGCAAATATCGGGGCCTCAACAGCTAGACTTGGAAAAAGGTTCAGAAGATGCTGCTATTGTCTGCTTGACTGCAACATCACCATGGCGGATGCCGATTTCGTGGCCATGGCGGAGTAGATGGGGCATGTCAGTGTGCAGGAAGCAAAGATACAGGAACGGGACCGGCTAAAGCAAACCAACACCCCTAAAACCCTAAAGCCTGAAACAGGATAAATGCTTGTACCTGGCGCTGCGAAGTTTCAGCAACGACACGACTGACACTTCCTGTTGCCCGGGCTACTCCCTGATACCGCACCGACTCTGTACGTAATGCTTGCAATCTGCTCCCATTGTCCTGTTACTCTTCTCTGGGTGCTCCAACTGGCTGAAGGACTACAAGACAGTTGCACCACTCTACTCATTGCAGGTATTGAGTGCCCCTGCTGCGTACTCCGCTTGCTCTTAGGATTCGCAAAGGTTTTATTGCTCACCCCAGACTGTACACTCCAGGTACGACTTGTGTCTCCCCCTGCATTGACAACCCCTGTTTTGCTCTTGATCCATTGCCTTAAAACATCAAGCATGGTCACTGGTTAATACTGAGCACCTTGCAGATACCCAACACTGAAACAAAACGCAACCACAGCACCTGTGCCGCATGCTGGCAATTCGCGCGGCCCAGAGAGTAAGACCCGGTGTCCACTGCCGCCTGGTGACGAGACGCATAAATCGGAGGCATGGCTGCTTTACAGTGTTTCGGGTGAAGGGTTTTGAATAGTTTAAGGTTTTCGTTAGGCTTTAGCGTGGCCAATAATCATGGACTTAGAATATGTTCAGGGTGAGATTTGACTTAAGCTTTCAACCATCGCATTTCTGCTACGGAATGGACTTCGTCTGAACCGGTGAGCCCCCACCGAGACGAGACGAGGCAACAAGCTACGGCTGCAAGTTACGGGCTCTCGGTGCACTCACCTTATGCAACCCAAAACCCCTAAAACCCCTAAACCCAAAACCCCTATAGCCCTAAACTCTAAACCCTAAACCTTCTTCCTGAAATTACTGAACTATACATCTTCAGCCGCACATCTTCCAGGCGGCCCTGAACTCTAAGACGCGGCCTTTTTCAGACTGGAAGCTCGCTACATGAAGTAAACCCTGGTCCCTTTCAAACCATAACCTCCTGGACTTGGAAAGCCCTCCTAGATTAGATTCTGCCCTGATCTTCACTGCGACGCTGCTGACGGACAAATTACCCCTAAAAAAGAGTGCTTTCGTCCGTCAGCCATACCTTTAGTCGTCATAACTACCGGTCCCTTCTCCGCGCCTGCCATAGCTGCATCGGAGTCAACATCTCCTTGAGGTCAGGGCCCTCCAAACCGCTCACCAGGGAACCAAAGTAGTGGAAGCCTCTCGGGCTCGGATTTGTATGCGGTTTACCTATTGCAACAACTAGGATGCCCAGTAACCTAGGAATAAAACGGGCTCCCTTTTTGGTATTGGGTAACTTTATAATAAGGAACCTAGGACTACAAAAAGGGAGTAAGGGTACTACTGGGCATCCCAGACAACTATATAGGCCGCTATACAGTAGAAGCCCAAAACTTGGAAACCCAATGGCCTCAATCCTTAAGAGTCATGTGTAGGGAATCCCAGCACTATGTGTCCTAATCCGGTTTCCAACTTTTTGGGCTTTACCACAAGGGGGACCTTCATAATATTTTCATCTCTTGTTTTAGGGGTTACTAGAAGAGTTACTATTTGGGTTTAGAATTTGGGGTTCAGGGGCTGCGAAAATATTATGTGGGCTACTATGTGGGTTATCAGCTGTTACTCTCAGGTGACCAGAAGGGTTACTATATGGGTTACTATCAGGTTACTAGAAGGGTTACTAGGCGAGTCAAGGGTTCTTCAATGTGTATAGAGTAGAAGCCAAAAAGTTGGAAACCCGATAGCCTCAATCCCTAAGAGTGATGTATAGGGAATCTCAGCACTATTTGGCCTCAATCAGGTTTCCAACTTTATGGGGTTTACTGTAATTCTTCCTTCGGAAGGCTTCTTCTCGTGGACATACATATAGGGATTTGAACCGGTACTGCTTGGAGCTGATGTAAGTGCCAATGTCTATGTTTGTAAGAAGGAGCCCCGAGGAATAACATGTGGTTGCACGTTTGTGACTGGTGGTCTTCCTTTGGCAACACGTCCTGACTGTACTGTACTGAACTTAGAGCTGTTTCTTAGGGATTATAATAACCAAAAATTAAAACCATTTCTAAGTACCCCTAAGTGTACCCAAGAAGCCTATGTCACCGACTTACAACGGTAGTAGCTGCTTGTTGCAATCTTGACAGTGGTGCTCATGGCGAGATTTTTGATGCTTCAACGCACATTGCTAAATCCAACCCTTCGAACCCAACCGAACCGCAGACCGAAAACGCAAAACCCAGATCCCAAAACCAGGAATTCAAAACCATGAATACAAAACGCAGGAACCTAAAGGCTCTGCTGTGCCAGGAGCTTAGGTGAAACTTCGGACATTCTCGGCAAAAAAACTGGATCTTGACAAGTAGGACGTTCCTGTGCAGGGATCCTGTAACTTTTTGAGTTTAAAGGTATAGCATTCCTTATGACTGTTCGACAATGGTTCCATGACGTGTTGTTTTCTGTAATATCGTGGCCTTGCTACTTAGAATAGGGTCGTGGGGGCTGTTCTGTTGCAATTATGCGAAGGTGCCCTGAGCAAAAGCATACTGTTCATTTCTCAGGCTTCTAAGTATACCCAAACAGCCCTAAAGCCCTGGAGCACTAAAGCCCCAAAGGCGCAAGCCTTAGAGCCCTGTAAACACGTCACTAAACCCCAAGCACTAGATAAGCAGTCACGAAACCTCGGATGTCGGAAACGAGAACGCCATTCTGAAACTGCTCCTGGGCGTTGGGTCTTGCGGGTTTATAGACGGCTAACACTTTAAGTAAATTCGAGTGATTCAGGATTTGGTCCTAGCCAGGCAAGTCGTCCAATCAGAGGGGAGAGACATGGACAGTGATCGTCATCATTGAGCCGCCACACAAAACATCGCTTATGGCGAGTCGTTTTGTTCATGGGAGATGGCAATCCAGAACCAAGACTACTTAAGCGTATCTGCCTACCCAGCGACTTTACAACCGCGCGCCGAAAAGCCACTAGCATGACCAACACCGTCAGGAAGAAGCCTCGACGACAAGCAAGCTCTGGAAGCACTATAAAACCTGTCGCCGGGGCGGCCTTTCAAGACCTTTCAACACTGTATGTTTGGGGTCCCCCTGCAGCCAGTTTTTGAAGATAGGCAACCTGGATAAGCCAGGCCATGTAAACAATTTTTGCAGCAGATATGTCGCATTTTGTATTGCATTCTGTTATGTCATAGTATACTGGATGTTGGCCCAACGCAGTAGCGCAATTATTAAATCAGATACAGTATAAGCCCCGGTCCTCCTGTAGCAACTCGTCTGGCATGGCCGCCTTTTCGATGACGTAGCCGCGGCCGGCTTTCGTCGTGACCACCACCAAGGAGTGGGTCGCCAAAGCCCCGCCAGATCCCTGCAGCGTCTTAGGCTTTAGGGTTTAGGGTTTTAGGGTTTAGGGTAGGAACTTACCATAAGTTAGCATAATAACAATTGCCCAAGTTACCATGATGAGAAAATGATATTACGTAAAAAAGTTACCACAGTAAGGAATTTACCTCGAGTCATCATACTTAGGAAACACAAGGAAGCGATACTTGCTAGAGATCCCTAAACGGGAACCCATCCTGCGCTGCCCGAGAGTACCACTGCACTCGCACGACCCGGGCATCGTCCTCGCAAAGGATGTGTGCTAACTGGAAGCTCAACCCTCTCTCCCTGGGTGGGTTTAGGGTTTGGGGGTTTAGAGGTTTAGGGTTGAGAGTTTAGGGCTTAGGGTGGTCTTGGAAGTAGCAGAGCGACAGCGACATGAGCTGGCGTAGCCCGTTTAAGTGCCAACAACGAACCCAAAGGTACAGTAGCCTTGCCTTTCACTTTGCCAGGATATTTCATCCGGCCATGGTCTCATAGCTCCGACATTGCGTCGGTACCTGTGAACTACCACGAATGACCATCCAAAGATGCAACAACAAACACTCCAAGCACATCTCATAAGCCCTTAGCTGCTGAGTTCACAAGCCCCCCCGAAGCGTACACTTTTAGTTTAATAGTAGGCAATATTATACAAAAAGTGTGAAGTGTATCCACTCAGCTACTAAGAGCCTGAGCACGAAGGCAGGAGAAACAGTACCCCTCGCTACCAGGAAGCTCTACGACTCTACGAAGCCCTAAGTTTGTGACCTGCATGCGCTGCTATCTTCAACCGAATCCAGGCGCAAAAGAGAATTCAACCACACAGCACTTTCCTGCAGTCCCTGCTCTGTAACCGAGCCCGAAGAACGACCCCTTTCAGGCATAAGAGTTTCCCGAACCCGAAACCACAAGGCCTAAAGTCCTGGAGGCAGTCGTGGAAGGCCTCGCCGTCTCCCATGCTGGAGCCCACACTATGGGCAGACTGAAGTAAGGCCACAACCTCCGCCTTCCGGCCACGTGGGTTGAGGGTTTAAAGCTTTTCGGGTTTAGGGTTTAAGGCTATTTAAGGCTGCTTAAGGCTTATACAGGGCTTTAGGGTTTAGGAATAAGGGCTTAGATACAGTTTAGGATATGCGTTTTTATAGGGTCTAGGCTTCAGGGTTTAGGTGCTGAGGACACCACAGTGGCTCCAGTGCTTCTTCGTAGCTTCATAGGCTTCTCGCAGGGTGTAGAAAATTGCGAGTGTCCCCTATAACCCTAGCCCTGAAGCAGAACATACATGAGAGAGTCCAAAAGACAGCCAAAACCCCATGTACCTTGAACCGAACTCTGTTTGAAGCAACCCTCCTACGAACCCTTACAGGAAATATTGACGGGAACCCGACCCCTAAAAGCACTCCAAACACTTCAACCCGGCCAGGCTCTTCGAGCCTGCCCAAGCAAGGCTGCCTGATGAAGCGGGGTATAGCCGCGCCTGTCCTCCGGCTTGAGCTTTCGTAGGGCTTAGAGGTTTCGAGCTTGGACTTCTTTCAGGTTTGCGGTTTCAGGCTCAGGCTTCTTTAGGGTTTGGGCCTGGGCGTTTCCAGTTTTCATGACAGTTCAGTCTCGGGTTGAGGGCTGAGGGTCTGGCCTTCGGCCGCACGTGTCCTGCCGGGACAAGGTACTCAGGTCAATATAGTAATTAAGGGTCTGCCACAATCAATGCAACGCATGCATGAATGGAGGCCACGGGTCGTTCTGTTTGTGGCTAGCAGTTTTCAGAGACCACAAAACTCCAAGCACTCGCGTGAACGGCTATAACAAATCAGCTATGATGCAAGTTATGACTAAGAACTCTTCGAAGGATAAAAAGTTTGCACCACCCGACAGCGAGGATATTGCGGGCATTCCATCTGAGCTCGCTGAAAGAACCATCGAAACTTCACACCCCTTCATCTCTACCCGACATATGACCCAAACCCTAAACCGGGTTCTTGCATTTTTGCGGCGTTTATATAAGTCAACTGACCATAATCGGAAGGAAACCAGACTATTTACTATCGATTCCGACTATGCTAACTTACATAAGTTAAGCCCCTTAACAAGAACCCGCAAAGCACACGAGCTCGGCAGCCTTGCTCGTCAGGAAGCCGAGCTTCGTGGCCACGTTGTTGAGCAACGCTCGACAAACCTGCACCTGGAAACTGTGCTTTGGAGTTTAGGGCTTTATGGTATATTGTATATACTTCGTCTCGTCCACAAGCCAGACGCGTGGTGTAGCAGGAACTTGCCACCACATCGACACAACGAGTGTTGACATGGACCACGCAGCCCTTCAGGATTTCGACGGAACAGCCCATCCCCCTCAGCTACAGCCGCAAAGCTTTCAAGCCCCAACCCCAGACCCCAACTCTGAACCCTAAACCCTAAACCCCCTAAACCCCCTAAACCCTAAACTCTAAACCCTATAGGCCCTAAACCCAAAACTCTAAAACCTATCGGCCCTATTCGGCCCTATAAACCCTAAACTCTCAACCCTATAAGCCCTAGACCCTAAACTCTAAACTCTATAGGCACTAAACCCTAATACCCACCCAAAATCTTCGAGGCCCTTTCCATGAACACCCAACCGGGAACCCCATTGCCATAATGCAGGGGCCTGAATAATTAGAATCGGGTTTTAGGCCCCATTTCAATACATATCTATCTGAATGTATCTATATCTATATCTATCTATATATATATATATATATGTATATAAAAGGTCCCCGCCCCACCCCCGCCCCTCCAAAAAAACGTATTTGTAATTCTTAACGCCCCTACATTGAACCCCAAATCTCGAAATACCTTAACCTCTGAACAGTCAAACGCAAAACCCGAACCTGAAACCCCAAACCTTCAACACCCCCAAATCCCCCCTAAACCCTTAATCCCAAACCGCACCCTAGAGCCTGCCCATGCTTCGCAGCCAAGTGCAAGGGCGAGCTTTGAGAACTCCGTCCCTCGCCGCTGGATGTACTTGCGATGCAGTTCTCCACCTCGGGGCCCTAAACCCTAAACCCCAAACCCCTAAACCCTAAACCCTAAACTCGGGGCCCTAATAAGTAGGATCGGACTCCCTGTGACAGGGTTCTCCCAGGGGCTCTGCAAGGCATACGTTACAGGTTCGAGGAAGTAGTGGCCCGCATAGTTGAATGGGGGGCCGGAGCAAGACCCTTAAAGAACCGTTTTTGTAATATCCAGGCTTTTGCATTTACGATTTACGCCTGAGGTGGGAGGGTTTGGGGTTTAGGTATTAAGATTCAGGGCTTATAGGGTCATGTTCGTGGTTGCTGTTGCCACTACGAAACGATGGATAACTATGGCAAGCGGTATCATGCGGTGCTTTCACTATTGGGAATATTGCCTGTCAGTTGCGGTCATCTCTGGCACGGTATTCCTACTGCCATATCACGTGTGCTGCACCCTAGTTCGATTATCCATACTAATGGCAGCAGGAGCAGGAAAAGCAGTTAGCATAGCCCTGCTGGAAAGAACTCAGTTTTTGACAACGGCCCGCCTGAACATCCACGGACAGATTCCGGCCGAAGCAGATGTCGGGCCTTTCCCAGAGAATTGTCTGCATCCAGAGTCCGAGGAGCCTCCAAAGCAAGAGCCAACGAAAGGATCGGTGAGTCCAGGTGAGGCACATCTCGGTGGCGATGTCGAAGTTGCGCACATAAGTCTTCCGGGCTTCTTCGACACCAATAGTATCACTGGAGGCCAATGTAATACTCTTCATGTAGTATCGAAAGGCTATGAAGCAAAGATCGTTCCGCTCGTCGTTCTTGCAGCCAAGCGCCACGCCAATGAATGCAATAATGAACCTTGCAAAAGAGTACAGCGTCTCGGGCTGGCGCATGCGCCTCGACTTCAATACAGAAGCCTCTTGCAACCGACACCGTGCTCCATGCAAGTACTTCCTGACGCACTTCTGGTAGCCATTCTCAAGAACCTTGCTTGGAGGTTCATGGGTAGTCATAAGTAGTAACTGGGGTTTTAAGCCCCCTCATTGTAGTTACCCTACTTATAAGCCCCACTCAAAAGCCCCGAACCTCTAAGTGGGCACCCCAATACCAGGTTCTAGGATATCGGCGGCTAAAGTCTAGGAGTCCGCAAGGGGATTGATTGAGTCATCAGACCTTGATGACCACCCCTCAAACAACTTCATCGAATAATCGAGCAGCTATTGCCTACATTGTACGACTCAACACTTCTGACATGAGGCGCTCTGTCTATCATCGATGCTGTGGTGTCTGTTTCTGCCTTTGAATATATGTCAAGAAGGCTGGGTGCACGGGGAGCTTGGGTGGGAGACTTCAGCCTCAATGGTACTTTTCCAGCTTTCATAATTCACAGACTACCCATATCAGGCGTTTGTTCGTCCAATTCTTGTGGGGCGCGGCTTTCGCCAGCTTCACTCTGCCTTCTCAAGTATCGAGCCCTGAGCCTTGAGCCCGGATGGTAGCTGTTAGAGAAAATCCGTCCGGCAAAGCCACAGAAAGCTCCGGGGAGTCGGCTGGAAGACCTCTCCGTAAAATCGGCATGGCGCTGTACCACAGTAGGGGCCTTGATGCCAGCAGAGCCAAGACGGGATTCAAGTACTCCTCCAGGCCACACGGGTGGAAGAGTAGCTTCGGCGGAGGAGGGTTGAGGGTTTGGGGTTTCCCTAAACATGTGGGTTGAAAAAGTCCTATGTTGTCTTTACTGAAGTCTCCTGAGCTGTGTCCCAACTTCGAGGTGATGAGCACTGTCCCAGACCCTCAAAACCCGGAACCCCAAGGCCATAATCACCAAATCCGGAGACCCTGTATCCCTCTAAGCCTGTCAACAAACTAGTCTTGAGTCTAGGCTGTCCCAAATTTCTCTCATGAACCCTTAAACTACAAAGCTTAAGAACCGCTAATGCTGAACCTCTCCTGAACCTCCTGAGCGCCGGTAGCATGGGCCGCACACAGTAAGATGAGAAATGCATTGAGCTCGTCATTTTGGAACTCTCTGTGCACATCCTGCTGCGTGGCATCCTCAACGGCGTCGCCTGGGAGTCAGCATCGTCGAAAGTCAGCACCATTGAAATTCGGTTCAAGAAGTGAACGGGCTGAACAAGTGAACTCTAAACCCTAAACCCTAAACCCTAAACGCGCAAATAAAGAACTTGCGACGGCCATGCTCGGATGGAAGTTCAAGGTCTACCTAAACCCTCTAAGGCGAATTTTTCAATTTTTGCAGGACATATAAAAGAGGAATTAGAATAAGGCACCCTAAAAAGGTAGGTTCTTTAGGGCTCTCCTGGAGTTGAGCTGACCTGATCCGCTACTCAGGTCTGAGTATGATCTTGCCTGTTACGGTCCGTTCATACGTATTTTACAATCTACCGTACAGTGCCTTTGTGGTTAGAATACTCTCGGCATAGTTGTTGTTATGAGCTGTAAGCCCCCAAACCCAAACCCTGAACCCAAAACCCTAAACTCATCATCGCGCCTTGACGTGCGACAGAATCCTGTGCTTTGCGGAAGCTCCGTTGCAAGGCTTCCGCTGCTTTCGCACCTTCCTTCCAGACTGAGGCGGGAGGCAGCGTATACTTTCTTTGTTTATGGACTCCTGCTGCTAAGGGTATACTTTTTGACTATGGGCGCTCATGAATTGAGCTTTATGCGTTTAGGGTTTAGGAGTTCAGGGTTTAAGGTTCGGGGCTTCGGGTCTAGACATTGGAGGCTGCTTTGGGGCTTTGGTTCCGACGTTTAGGGTTTGGGATTCCCGGGAACTGACCTGGGGTTGAGTTTGAAAGCTTAACGGTTCGGAGTTTCAGGCTTGGTGGTGGGGTCTCAGCGATGGCAAAAGGCTTCGATTGAAAGCTCAGAGGTCAACGTTTGGTGCTTGTTTTCCTTCCCGCCCCTCTCGGGTCCATGTGCCCGAATTGTAGACACTTTGGCCCCAAAGTACCTATAATAGGGACCACTGCAAGGCCAAAATATACAAGGACCCATTAGGGCTCTGTTCACTTATCCACTGCTGCAGGGCATTGGTCTCTCGGATCGCAACTTGAGCTGATGGCGGCTAGCCCGGGACGTTGAGGAAGAAAAATGTGGTTCAAAACAAGCCCATCGGAACAGGGTGTAGGTTTCAGCGTGCTCTAAACTCAACCCTAAGAAAACACCCGAAGCCCCTAAACCTTAAACCGTAAACACCCTGAACGTTAAACCCTAAATGAACCCCCTATGATCTATACACCCTATGAACCCTGATTGAAAGCCGCAGATCCCGCCAATTCAAGACCCCCTCAGCCTGGAGTTGCTCACCTTCTCGAGCAATTCCCCTCCCTTGGAGATAGCCATCGCCTTGGGAAGGTTCGGGATTTAGACGGTTTAGGGTGTAGAGTTCAGGGGTTTAGGGGTTCAGGGGATTAGACTTCAGGGGTTTAGGGGTTTAGTGTTTAGAGTTCAGGGGTTATCGGTTTAGGGTTTAGAGTTCAGGGGTTAGGGGTTCGGGGGATTAGAGTTCAGGGGTGTAGGGATTTTAGGGTTTAGAGGTTTAGGGGTGTAGGGGATTTAGGGTTTAGGGGGTTAGGGTTTAGGCTTTGGGGCGCTTTGGGTTCGGACTTGGAGCTTCAAGCCTGGGGTTTGCTGCGTCGGTGCGTTCGAGAGCTTACCTACAGTCTCCATTGTAGTTCCTTTTTTGAGTTAACCAAAATCTCTATTATAGGACCCTAACCAACCAGTTTTGTGGTTAGGATCCTTTAATAGAGATTTTGGATATTTTGGATAACCAAAAAAAGGAACTACAATGGAGACCATAGGAAGGGTTCAGGTTACCCAGAGCTGCCTTAGCTTGGGTCTAGAGCACGGGTGTGCTGCAGTTCGGCATATTGACTTCGTCGGGAGACTGCGACGGCTTCAGGTGATGATCCAATTAGCCGCAATGATCAGACATAGCAAGAACCGCACTAGCAACCATGACAGCAATGATAGTACGAATAGTGCTAATTATGTACCAGTAATACTAGTAAGAAATCCAATAATGATACTGCTATGTAGTACTATGACGTTTGCTTTAGAGTTTAGGGTTCAGGCATGGTGTCGGTCAGAATAAGTCATCCCGCAATCTTGAAAGCCACGGTCCCTATCAGCCCGAAACCCCATAAAATTCAGCAAATTGAAACTATATGTACAGTATCTTCTGGTGTATGGTAGTAGTATTGCAGCAGTAGTTCCAGAATGTTCAGAGCTTCTCAAGCCGGTGGCGACCCCAACAAACCGTAAAACCAAATAGGTTCAGGGTTTAGATGCCGTGGATGCAAAACCCACCAGAACTTCGCACAAACAGACACACACACAAAAGTTGCAACCTTACTATTCTATAGCCGCTATAGCCTCTGTTTCTTCAAGGGCTACGTACTACAAGGCCGAGGTACTACCGGTGGCCAACCAAGTACAAAAACCCATCGCAGTCAGGCCAGCACCAAGTGGCTGCCACCTTCAGGAAAAGCGGCTGTTGCGACAGATGGGCGTGAGCAACTAAAACAAGAATAAGGTGTTGGGGCAAATTGTAGTATGCTTATCCCTTTAATGTCTTAACCCTAATTCCCTACATGAAGACATTCAAACCCCTTTGCCAGGAGTATCGTTGTGGTAATTAACCTTTTAGCTTTACGGATTTTGCCGGGCCTCCATTGGTGGCTGGTGAAAGCTGACTGCAGCTTCGGTTCCCTCCGCGCCCGCTGAAGAACGCAAAGCACTGCAGCCGGCCGTGGCAAGCGGCAGAGACGCATCATTATGAGATTTGGGTTTAGGGTGTATAGGGATTAGGGATTACGGTTAGGGTTTAGGACCTAGGGCACTGATTGGTAGGGTGGGTTGGATATATGGGCGAGTGGGTTAGGGGATTATATAAGGCTTCATGAATTCAGCCTTAAGGCTTGAAGGCTAATTTTGGTTATATGATGCCTGTCGTGGAAGACAGTCAAGAACCCACATGGAGTGCTCTCATTGTTTGGAACAGTTCTTCTAGGATAGCGGTTGCAGTTTTGCAGGGGTTCTAGACCCATTGAAGAGATGATCCTGAGTAGGGATCTATAAGCCTAAGGCTCAAGATGGCCAAAAAGCCTTATATAATCTGGTCTTTAGGCCCAAAGGCCTTAAAATATGAGTCCTTAGAGCCTTTGGGTAAAGGGGGCCCAAATATAGGACCGGCCCTAAATAGTAGGATCTTTATTATGACGACCCCAAAATAAGGTACCCCTAATTTTCGGAAACTCCCATAAAGGCTCACTTTTAAGGATGTTCCGTCAATCTTCAGGGCTGCGCTGCAGTCTTGAACCGAGTGCCGAGTGCCGAGACTTCTACGGCAGCGCTGGTTTAGGGCTTAGGGTCCATCTCTAGGGTTTAGCGGTTGAGGGTTTAGGGTCTATAGGGCTTAGGGTCTATAGGGTTTAGGGTCTATAGGGTTTAGGGTTTAGGGGTTTAGGTTTAGGGTTTAGGGTCCAGCTCTACCTATAGTCTCCGTTGTAGTTCCTTTTTTTTGGTTATCCAAACTCTGTATAGGATCCTAACCATACAGCTGGTTAACCAAAAAGGGGAACTACAATGGAGACTGTAGGTAGTTCAAGAGCTTCTGGTGCAGTTCCCTCTCTGACTCCACCTCTGACTTTCTAAGGGCCTGCAAGAGGATTCCAGGAGTGAGGGCGGAAGGGCTCCCAAAGGGGCAAAGTCAAGACCCGCTGGGGAATCGCAGGAGTCTGAAGCTAAAACAATTATAGTCGGCTACCTAAACTATAGATTCGTTTGACATGCTCTGTCTGTCGCCACCGCTACACGCCTGACTGTGTGCACGACTTGCCGCCAAGTGCCTCCTGAAACACTCCTCAAAGACTCAAAGACAAACTACCTATAAGCGTAGTAGGCTCCAGGGTTCTCGGTACTATAAGTTGTAATGACGTATGATCTTGAGAACAGGTATCCGTAAGACAGGTGGTTCGGCGACCCTGAGCCAAAACTCGTTGCGCTTTGGTTTCTGAGCTTTGAGACTGGATGCATGTTAGCGAACGGTCAGCTTTTATGGTGAACGTAAATGACCTTCATAGTAACCAGTAGCGTAAATCACGATGAGCTATATGAACTCCTGCAAGCATGGACCACTCCCAGCAGGAAGCATCAGCGTTGACCAGGATACTGTATGCATGGGGGCTTTAACTTTAGTTGGAGTTCTACTAAACAGGTTATAAGGACCAGAAGGGGATACATTAGACTACTTATACTTCTAGTAAGGAACCCCAACATAGTTTTGATAAATATAAGGACCCCTTATACCATAGAAACCTACTATAGATCCCTTACCAGACTACGACCAAAGACTCAAGCCCTGCGATGCCCTGCAAAGCCGAGGTGGCGGCTGGGATGTTCTGGCAGGCTATCGAGCTCTTCGTGTCGCCTCAGATCAAGGAACGACTTCGTGAGATTTCTCGGCAATCCTAATATGAGGGCCTTAATAAGTAGAATAGGGTTGTGAGGGCTATAACCATATTAAGGAACCCCAAACAATTGTATAGGTCATTAGTAAGGCCCATATACTATATCCTTTATGATAGCCCTTATAGTGGCCCTAAACCCTACACCCGAAACCCAAGGCTCCCTCACCAGGGTGGGCCCAGCTTTAGGGTTTCGATTGTTTGTTCGAAGTCATTTTCTCCAGAGGCTGCAACAGTCTGCAGAGATTTAGGCTTTAGGTTTCAGGGATTGGGGCTTAAAGGGTTTAGGGTTCAGGGATTCGGTGCTAAGGGTTGCTGCAGGTGCGGCTCGAAGTTCAAACCTTTGGGCTTCACAGCCCAGATCAGTTTGGAACAAAGACTGCCGGCAGTGAAGCATCTGCTGCGTGTGTGGAAGGACGAGGGTTGAGGCTCGAAGCCCCCTTGTTCCAGTCAAGAACCGCAGGAGGCATACAGCTGAGATTGAAAGGCATCCTACGTCCGAAATACCGTCCGCAATACATACAGTTGGTTCCTTCATGAAGCCCTCCGTGTACTGGAGTTGTTGTGCAACTGGGCGATGTTTTGCTGCTGACTTACACCTGACATGAAGAACATGCAATGCTCAGCACACACTACCCTAAACCCCGTAGGCTTAAACCATATTATGTTGAAGAAGCACATGGGTAAACTGTACTTGCTAGGGTACAGGTGGAATGGATATCAGAAGAACGTCCAAAAGGCAAGCGACCTCCCCGCGACAAACATCATCAATCACGAAATCCCAAACTCAAAATCTTAACGAACCATGATAGACCCGTTATCACAACCCTTACAGACCCCTAAACCCTAAACCCTTAAACCCTAAACCCTAATCCCTAAAAGCTTATCGGCCCCACAGAAGCCTAGATTAAAAAGTATCTGCGGCCAGGGAGCAGTTGACCCGGTACACACAATTGAGCTCGTTGGGGCCAGTAAGGCACATCCAGAAAACAAGGAAGATGAACCTGAAAGGGTTTGGAGCGGTTTAGAGTTTAGAGTTTACGGTTTAGGGTTTAGGGTTCATCCAGAAGCCAAGGAAGATGAGCCTGAAAGGGTTTAGATAGGGTTTGATGGTTCCAGGGTTGAGGCCAAAAGAGTGTGGAAATTGGGCTTCAGACAGGGTAAGAAGTTACTGCAACAAAGCCTGCAGCATGCACGCTCCAAAATCGCACATCCTTATGTCATGTCGTGTGCATGCCCCGCCCTCGCCCTCCAAGTCTTTGCCTCGGACCCATGCGGAAATGACTCCCAAGTCTACTTTGTAGGATCGTGCATAGGGCTCAGCGTTTAGGGTTATGGGCGGCATCGGGCATTCAAGCAATCCCGAGGGTGCGCATGTATCACTTTCCCAACCGTAAATCTCAAAATCGCATGAACTCGGAAAAAAAAACGAAACCGAAACCATTAAAGTCGACACCTGTAGCATTACAATCACAAGATGCCGAAACCAGAAAGAGCAACGACTACCACCTTCTCGCAGCAGGGGTGTCCCAAACTTGTTCAAAATAGGGGGAGTGAGAGGCAAGTGTGCGTGAAGATGCACGTATGAGTCAACGTAAGCAGCTAGATCCGTACATACATACGTATGTGTCTATGTATACACATACAGTTGGAAGTTGAAACAGACGCGTGTACATACAGACATGCATATACTTGCATACACACATACATACACATTTGCAAACCTATGTAGCCGCAAGGGCCGTAAGCATGCGTTACATATATCTAAGTACATACCTTTGCAACACACACATACATACGTACATACATAACATATATATATATATATATATGTATATATATATATATATATATATATATGTATATATATGTATATATATGTATATATATGTATACATACATACATACATACATATATATATATATATATATGTATATATACATATATATAAATACATATATATATATATATATATATATATATATATACATATATGTGCATACACACATGTATGTATTCACGGACTTATGTCTGGGCTCATCATACCGTCATCCACGAGGACATAATAGTACCCGGTTTTCAGAGCCCAAAGCACAGCTGACCATTTAGCTGGGACCCGCTATGTGCGTGTGTGTGTGTGTGTGTGTGTGTGTGTGTGTGTGTGTGTGTGTGCGCGTGTGTGTGTGTGTGTGCGCGTGCGTGCATGTGTATAGATACATTCGTATATTCAGTTAGCTTAGCTGTACGTAGGCATATACATTTGGATACTTGCATGAATGCATTTCTAGAACAAGTCTGTCGATACAGCAGATATATTCATTGGCAATGACAGGTACAACGAAATGCAGCAAAACCCAATTGACAAGCGAGTGTCAGGATGTAAACCACATTGATGCCCACATTCCGGAAGATCGCCCGACGAAATTCACCTGCTTGAGTGCTACAGTCTCGCCATGGACATGCGCCATCACCCAGAGACAAGACACAATTCCAATCAACTCCATTGTTTCTCGTTTCTACCAGAGTTCTTCAAAGTCCTGGTTTCCTGAAAAGAAACTTCTCTGCCGAGGCCTTGCTGTAGACGCCGGCGTTCTTATAACAAGGATCCTACTGTGTACCAGTGTGTACGAACTATAAGGGCTCCTCTCTCCTAAGGTGCCGCAAATCACATCTCGATTCGCCGGAGCTTGTTGGTTGGAAGACCCTAGTGACAAAGAAGCCCAAAGTGCACCAACAAGAACAGCAATCTGAAGCGGATCTGCAGGCAGGAACTATCGACCGGCTGTAAGAAACATCTGGTCTTGTAGATCCCTTTACATCAATCTGGATGCATGTGAAAGCCCGCAACTTACGGGTTTAGGCTTCAAAACACAGTTTTGAGTTCAAACCCCGGCTTCGGGTTTGGGGTCATGGGTACCGCTTTGGGTCTGAGCCCTACCTGAACCCCAACGGTGTACGATTAATTTCGGCTACTGAAGATAGTTGATGCTTTCAGTGCTGGAGGGTTTTGCGGCGTGCAGTTTTGGCCCTGCTCCTGTGATCCTCTTCAAGCAGATCAAGAATCGACTCTGGTTCCCGGGCTCATTTGGTTTATAGGGTTTAGGGAACTTCAAGAATGGTTTAAGTTAGCTTGGGTGGGTTACAAAAGTGAGGTCGGCGATGCTTGGGATGTTGGTTTTGCCTTGGAGGACAGACATGTTTGGGCTTCGAAGGGCTTCCATACTGCATTTTTCAGCAGCGAACAGCCAAGTTGGCTTCGTGCTTCTGCAAAGTCTTTGCATGCACCGTACGACCATGAGTCGATCTCGAGAGTGTGCATACTCTCCCCACGAAGTCCTCATCCGTTTGACAGCTTGCCGAGAGAGTGTTCATCACCTCTCCTCTTTCAGCATCCTGCAACATTCCACATCACACGTCAGTCCACATGTGCAGCTTTGCTGACCAACTGAAACCGCGGAAGATGGAGTTCGGAAGCAGCCGATGCTAAATCCTAAAAGCACCGTAACAAGTCCAAGCCATGGTCAGCGAGCATGCGAGTAGGTGCCATGTGGGGTTGGGGACTTAGGTTTCAGGCGTACATAGAACGAACAAGGCCCAAATGCCGAAGCCCTCAGATCGGGATCAGGTCCCCGGAAACCCTGAAAACGCTTACTGATCCTTAGGGATCAGTGAGCGGTACTCTTTTGAGGTTTGCTGGTTGGCCTGTTGCGTTAATATGGAAACTTGATTGAAGGACGGAAGAAGGTGGACAAAAACCAATCGACCTTAATCCCCCAGGCCCAATGTACAGGGGGCTTCTTAAGGACTACCATATACAAGTAAGAGGTGCTATGCACGTCCTTACAGGAAGCGCAACTATCCCGTGCCCACTCAACGAACAACATACCAAAGCACGCAAAGGAGCGAAATTTCCTACCGAAGGTCCAATCCGACAAGTCGACCCAAAGCCTGCCTGCAGCCCTCACAGCCGAAGCACGAAGCCCTGACAACTTCACCCCGGACCCCTTCTCATCCTGTTTGCTCCGAAAGTTTGGGTGTTTCATGTCCCGAGCCTCCGTAGGTGTTGACATAAGCCGTTGTACTCAGGACGATGAAGAGCGCGAGAACGCCAACAGCACCTTATGTACACTCAGCATGCCTCAAGAAGGCATTGTCAATTCTGCACGCAACTTGAACCGAACCCCAAACCCTAAACCCCAGGAGACCAAAACCGGCTGCCCTAAGGCCTTTTACCCTGAACCGAGCGTCTAGCTCGACATTCCTCCCATATACGTATATGTGTACATGCACCGTTGCCTGTACATCTTCTATAGATAGATAGATAGATACTGAATTAATGTGTATTTGTATTTGCACTTGTGTTGACATGTTTGTCATAATTTTAGAGTGTATATATATATATATATATATATGTGTGTGTGTGTGCATGTATATGTATATGTATATGTATATGTATATGTATATGTATATGTATATGTATATGTATACGAATATGTACATGTATGCATGTATGTAAATGTATGTATATGTGTATGTATTCATTTACGTATGTATGTATGTATGTACGCATGTATGTATGTCTGTATGTATGCGTGTACACGCATGCTAAATGGCTAAGCCTCAGGATCTTAAACTGCCTGAGCTCAAGAGCCTGGGCGTTGAGCGTAGATCATGCGGTAATCCGTGGAACTGGCACTACTGTAATTAGACTATCTTCGGATGGCCAAGCTTACGATCTAACAGATTTCCAACATGACCCATTGATGCCCGATGAGGTGCTTCATGTGTAGTAGCAGGATAAACGGAAAGCGGCAAATTAATCCTTGGACTGGAAATGGCCTACAGATCCTTGTAGTCTAACCTTTTATGACAATGAGGGCCTCGAAAGTATATACAGTTATCAAGAAAACCCTCAAAACCAAACCGAACAAAAAAAACCCAGATCCCAGAGCATGCAGGCTTCGGGCAACCCAGCGCAGGGCGTCTTCAGGTAAGTTGCTGTCGTAGTTGTCGCCTTTGTTCATCCAGTACCTAAGAGAAAATGCAATCAATAAGCCTGCACACCCTAAACCCAAGGCCTCGTGGCTTTACGGCCGCTTGCCCTGACAACAGCCAGCATCAACATCCAGGCCTCAAGCCGTAAAGCTTACCACCCTAAACCCACCCGACGTTGATCGCAACTCCTGGGCCCTGACACCCTGGTTCAACGAGGATGCACCCTCCCGCCTTCTGTGCAGGCTCTGGGAATTGTTCCTGCTAGCATTCGAGTCGCTCTGGTTAGGACTATTGCTAAGAACCTGATACAGCCACTACAAGTGGTGCTAATGCTGCTGCAGTCTCTCTTAGCGAGAAGTTTGAGAGTTCAGTGCTGTGTAGGTCATAGGCTTCAGCATTGGAGTTTCAGGCTTGTGGTCTTAATGCAAGAACATCACCCGAAACCCCAAAAAACCCTAACCCTAGACGCTAAACCGAAACCGTAGACACTTGAACTCTAAACCGAAACCCTAAACCCTCAGCCCTAAGCCCCAGACTGGAACTCTAGACCCTATAAACCCTAAATCCTAAACCCCGGAATCCTTTTTAAGCACGAGATGCTGAGCACGGATGTGAATCCAATTCGGGTTCCTCGGACAGTTCTTCATAGGCCATGGGTGCTTGCAAGGTGCGCGGTTTAGGGAGCCCTGACCTTAAGGACGAAATGAACCCTAAAAGGGTTTAAGGTTCATATACCATATAGGGATTTATAGTATATGGGTATAGGGCCCCTACTTTTAAGGGTCATTTGGTCCGTCAGTACGAGGGTTTAGGAGATCAGGGGTTGGGGGTCTCAGGGGCTCTCAGGGGTGTGCGGCTTGGGAGACGACGGGGTTATAGGGGTCTAGGGCTGTGGGGTTTAGGTGTCTAGGTTTTTTCAGTATCCCCTTATTCATAAGGGTACCCTTCATAAGGGTACGCTTTTTTCCTAATATTCAGGTCTAATAAGGAGACCCCACCAAAAACGGCAAACAGGTACTACTCAGGAACCTAGGTAAACCATAAACCTCTAAAGCCCAAAGCCCAAAAGGGTACTACTCCGCGAGGAAGTACGTTCAATACCTTCAGGGTTTAGGGTTTAGGGCCATGGTTTACTTTGCGTATGTTACATAATCAGAGGGAAGTAGTACATACATACCATACATGTTCGCATACATGCATACGCGGACACTTAGTACATACCATACCATACTAAACCAAATCATATCGTACAAAAAATGAAAAATCCAGACATAAGACCATACATACATGCTCACATAGATACGAAAAATATACACTACATGTATCTACATATCCATAACAATCATGTACGGTGATACGGAAGCTACCTACGAGCGTGCGTGTGCATATGTATTTGAGGTGTTTTTGCGTCCATGTGTATATACAGGTACATACACATATTTGCATATAGACACTGCATATACATATATACACATATATGGTCCCTTGGTAGGGTCCTTGAGGACTCGAATTTAGAGAACTTCCCATATGACTGGGTGCGCTTGGTGGCAGGCTCGCTGTGTAAGCACGCAAGATAGCAGGTATAGATAGGCCCGAAGAAGAGGCAGCCGAGACGATACATAGCTAGGTACAAAGACAGAAGTTGGCTCGTACATGCAGATCCATTCAGGTAAAAAACCTGCCATGGTGGCCCTAAACCCTTAACCCTAAATCCTCGACCCCAAGCCGTAACACCGGAGCATGAGTCCTGACTCCTACATCTTTCAACTCCGAGATGTGCGCCCTGGAAGCCGTCCCTTTAACCAAACAGTCTCCCCAACTTACGGCGAGCGCCATGTAGGCCAAACATGTAAATCGACGCTTTCAGAAATCTAGAAAGGTATTGGGTCGTGGAGAACACCAAACATTCGCTTCGAGGTTGGGTATTGGAGAACTAAGCCTGTGCGAAACCCTTTTTTAAGACACCGGAAAGACACCCTTTTCGGAGAACTGAGTCAAGTGCAGCACATCATACCAGTTCTGGGTGTGCAGGATCATGATGCCAACCTTGCAGATGCAGAGTAAGAGCCCTAAACCGCATTCTCTTCTAACCCTCATTCATAGAAGCCTGCAAAGCCCATGAAAACCTGCTGAGAAATCGTGCAACCACCGTATAAGGAGCTCATGAACCCTATACAAAGACTCTATAGATCGTGAAAATCCCGGTAAGTCCTAGTTGTATGGAACCCTGCAAAGATCTCTCAACAGGCTCACGAACCCATAGCAAACCCTCTTCAACCCAACGCAACCCTTTCTTGTGAACCCCTCTACGAACCCCCAAACCCTTAAATCTGATCCGAAACCTCCTGTAAAGGTTCTTCCCAAGGGGGGCGATAAAGCTTCTATAGGGCTTCTAGGAGGTGCTCCTAAAGCCTTTGGAAAATGTAAGGTCCTCTTAAGCCCAATAAGAGCAAATATAAAATGCCCCAAAGCCCTACCAGGGCTTCTTTAGGGGATTCTATGATATTGAGGCCATGACAACTAGAATAGGGCTTTCAGGGTACATTGCAGAGTGGTTGCATGTACAGACTACCAAGGGATACCATTATGAATTGTTGAAACCCCTAAATTAGTGGGCTTAACTTAACATTGGGCTTTTCGTTCCAATTGTTGTCCAGATCTCAGGGTTAAGGGTTCAGGATGCATTCGATGCCAAGTTTCCAGACCGATATGCGAGAGGGAAATCGTGGGGCTGGGGCTAACACACGACGTGTTGCTCAGGAAATTAACAAGTTTCTATACTCCACTAATGTTTGTCCTCTAGGGCACAACATAAGGAAGAGTTCAACTACGGCGCAACGGCAAAGCCGAACCGAATATAACTGAAGACCGACAAGCCAAAGTCTTTGCCCGGCCACAATCAACCCCTAAACTCAGACCTTCCAAAATCCCTTAATTAAGGAACATACCTTAAATCATATTTGGGATCCTATTATAGTTTAAGGTATATTCCTTAATTAAAGGATTTTGGAAGGTCTGGGAACCCCAAACCTTAAATCCCTGCCAGGCCACAGCCATAATTCCTGTACCGAGAAGATACGGTACCAAGATGCCTTGCAGGGTCGGCAGAACGTTTCGGGTCTGGGGCCTAGGGTTTCGGGGTTTAGGGGTTTAGGATTTCGGGGTTTAGGGTTCAGGGGTTTAGGGTCTAGGGTGTAGAAGGGGAATGAAGCCTTGCACTGGGTACCTGTCTGGGAGATCTTGACAAGAATACGGGAATAAATGAAACAAACAGCACAGATCACTCAGATGACTAAAACAACACTTGGCGTCATTATGATTGTTGGTATTGCTGTTGTGCTTATTGTTACTATTTACTAATTCATTTTATGGCCCCAAAGGATAGTCGGCTTGTTTATATGTCTAAGGAAGCCAAATTGCTGCATGCACGGCAAGATTTGGAAAATGAAGTCACCAAGTAAGAGCCGTGACCAGTCGAGGGAGCGAGCGCGCGTGCGCGTCTGACAACACTTCGTCGGAATCTAAACCCTCATCCCTACCCAGAGGCCCCAAAGTAGTTTTTTTGTGGGATTACCCTATAGGATTCGATGTATGAACCCCAAAAGGAACTACTTTAGGGCCTTAGGGTAAGCTGAGTGCACTGGAAGCTTGAAATGTCAGTGGTTCTTACACCTGAATCCCTAAGTGTCCATGCGCACAACTATAGCGTAGTTATACTTTGGCGCTTAAGTACCTAGACAGAGAATATTTGAAGGTCAAAGTATAGGGTATTTGCGTACATGGACTCTACCGGAACACTAAGTCGTACACCCAGCTATACTGTTTCTGGAAATCAATTAAAGCGGGTCGTGGCAAAGCACACGCAACATCGAAAACATTAATCGTATGACTTCATGAAGTCGAAAGCCTACATCTTAACCCCTAAGCCCTAAGTTGAGATTTTACACAAGCCGCCGGGCTCCCGAGTTGCTCCTGCACGTATTCAAACTACAATGTATCCCGTGCCACTGTGTGCAAGTCTCCGCCTGCACAAGGGCCATGCAGCAAGTGACTCTTCAAGGAAAGGCCAACACACGGCCCTATAACCTGAATCTCAATCCCTTAACCCTAAACTTGAAAGCTAATGCCCCTAAGCCCTATATGCCTTCGATAGGCCTGGCCTAAACCCTAAACCTGAAACCTTGAACCCTAAAACCTAAACCCCGAAACTTAAACTCGAAAGCCTAAACACTAAACCCTAAATCCCTAAAATCCTGAACCCTATATCCGTGCCTGAGACGGTTCGCAGGCCCAAGAGTGTGGCGGTCGGCCGAAACTTGGCCAACTCCGGTCTGGCCCTGGACTGCGTCATGAAGAACCTCGGCTTCACCCTAAGGGTCCGCCGAAGGGTTCCTTTAAGGGTCTTGGGTTTAGTGTTTATGTTTCATGTAAGGCCGAATTATATACTATTTGGGTCATGAAGAACCACGGACTCAGGTTTAGGGGTCTAAGGCTTGGGGTTTAGAGTGAAAGAGAAGGTCGCGTAGGACATGTATGGCGCTGGATATGCTTCTCTGAAGGCCGAAAACGTAACCCCTAAACCGACCCCGAAACCCTAAACCCCCAAACCCCAAAAGCCTCGCAAGCTTATACCCCAGTCTTAACTGCAGCCCTGAACTCCCGAAACGCCGGACCCTAATTATCCACGGTAGATGATGGCCGCGGAAGCTATTTCGCGTACTTTTGGGCGGTTGCTGGCCTGCTCCGGGGCAGGCTACTGAAAACTTCCACTTTGCCTGGCTTTCTTCTGTGTGAACCCATCCCAAGGTGCTTAACTATCAGAGAAATCGTGGATACAGGGATCCTTCATATGATTTAAGATCTTCTGCACATATGTAAGAGGTTTCGGAGTTTCTGCAAAGCCTCAATCGGCCCCTCCCCCGTAACCTTTGCGGCGGTAAACCCCTATAGTATTGAAGTACCCTTTAAAGGATACCTTGCAGTGCCCTTTAAAGGATACCTTGCAGTACCCGTGTAGGATATCTTATAGTACCCTTACGGTACCCTTTAACGAATACCTTATAGAGCCCTTAACCCTAAATCCCCAGAGCCTCCTTAAATGGTCTCAGGTCAACAGGTCGTCTTACTTGTCAAGTATCCTACCCTGGAGGAACTAAAAAAGTAACTAAAAGTTGAACATTTGGCGTCATACAGGGATTATGATAACAGGCTAGCGGCTCAAGGTTGCGTAAACTACTGCTAAGGCTTAAGGCAGCGGATTACTATGAGGGCTCTAATTTGGGGGTCTCGGGGGCAAAGTGTAATATCGTTGGAGAAAGCTTAAAACTCAATGTTCAGGAGATTTGTGTTTGCTTCTCGGTGAGGGTGTAAGGTTGGGATAGTATCGCGCGACCACCACGGCAATTATTACCGCAGCAACACCTACGCGTATTGCTATGGCTAGTGACGGTTAGTGTATTACTGCCGTCCACAATACTGCTGCTCCTACGACTGCTACCGCAGGCTACATATCTTCGGGGTCTAGGGTTGGAAGATGATTGCGACTTCTTTACGCTACGAGGTGGGGAGCAGAAGCTGGATCCTACAACTGCAGGACAAGGGCCAATAGACTCCAGAACGTTAGGGTTCAGGGTTCTGGATTATATTATATAGGGGAAAAACCCTTAATATAGCTATAATTATATACCCATTATGTAGCCCGTTATAGGGTCCCAAACTCATCAACCAAAGCCGGTCAGAAAGCTCTAAAGCCATGGGGGTTAAAAAAGGTTTAAGGTTTCTGTCTAAGACCGGGAGCATCATGATGACACCAACGCCGATGTCCTGTAGCATGGAGGAGGATGGGAGAAGCTTGACTGGGCCTTGGGTGGGCTTTGGGTTCAGGGTTTAAGGTTTCGAACCTAATGATGTTAGTTGGGCGTCAAGGTATTTTCTAGCAATTTCTGGTGCATTATGTAGCCTGTAAACTTCAAAAAAACCTGTGAGATGTGCACAAATATTCAAGCCAACCGGTAGTCTCCTTGAAGTTCCCTTCTTGGCTATGCACCAATGCTATACCTGGGTTCCTAGAAGGTATAAGAAGTATCGTTGCCTTAGCTTCGTCCCTACAGTTGCTAAGTACCATGATCCCTTGACCTAAACCCTAGACTAAACCCCAAACCCTGAAACATGAACCCTAAACCCTAGCCAGGGCCGAAGGGTTGGACGAGTTTCCCAAATGTTAGTATCTCTGGGTTGTACTTTAAGGGCTCCCAAAAACATTTATGAAAGGGTACCTCTACAGGACCATAGAGGAAGTTTAAAAAGTTAAAACGTCTTCCAAAGCTCCACTCAATTCTGTTCATTACAAGCCCCTTCTGTCCAGAAGAAAACTGTATGTCACAACCCTTTGGGCCGTTTTATCCCTAGGCACTCAACCCCAACACAGTAAAATAGTTCCCGTCCCGAAGCAGGGAGCAGAACCATATTCGGCCCAAAACCCACAACAGCTGCTCAGACCCTCCAAAATCCCTTAAGTAAGGAACATACCTTAAATCATCTTTGGGATCCTATTATAGTTTAAGGTAGATTCCTTAATTAAGGGATGTTAGAACCCCCTAAACCCAAACCCTATAGATCCCTTAAAGGACCCTAGGTATAATTTAAGGTATATTCCTTAATTAAGGGATTTTGGAAGGTCTGGGTTTACCTGAACCCTCGAACTTCAGGGGCTTTCTGGCGATTGTAATCTATACACATCCTGAAAAAAAGGGTACTTGGAGGATCGTGGGACTTAGTAAGTAAGGTTGTAAGTACCTTAATTGGGGTTATAAGTATAGTTACCCTAATTATAACCCTAGTTACTAAGTCCCATGATCTTTAAGTAGGCTTTTTGGTGCTTAGGGTGCAAAAGGTTTGCAATGTAGGAGCCTTAATCATTAGACTAGTGCTTTGGGGCCCATTATACAAATGGACGTTTAACGGGGTACCCTTCCTACTGTAACCATTCCGACCCCTAGATTCGCCCACGTAGGGCTCCAGATTCTTTGCTTGCCGATAGCTGCGGAGTTTTTGCAGATCAGATCTTACCCCTTCGTTTAGCTTATTTCTTACTTGGTCGCCTTCTGTCGAGGGCTAGATGTAGCCTTGTAGGCACATCTGAATTTGGAGCGCTAAACCAAGCTAGCACAGTGCAGAACTGGGTTGGCCTTTAAACACCCTGAACAATATTTATATATAGGGTCCCTTATAAACCCAAATAAGGAAAATAAAAAATGTCCCAAAATCCAACCTAGAGAAGTACCATAATCGTGGAGACATGCTCTGGGGCTCCGGGCAGATGTCATCCACACCCACCTGGATCTGTCTCCCAAAGGGTCCTATGTACTGTTATGGGGAATACTTCCCCCAATCATAATAGTAATTCCTAATATAGAAACCCTACATTCTACTATATCGGTACTTTGGACCCTTTGGGGTCTCACTGTTTCAAAAACACTTATACCCCTCGTGTTCTTGCAATTTTGCTTCAACCATGGGACTTCAGCACAACACTACCCTAAGCCGCATAAACCCTATTGGGATGCGAAGACCCTTGCAGGCATTCCAAGAGCTTGCATTCTGAATATGTCGTCTCGGGGGTCCTTCACATCACTCCGTGATCATTTGGGGGTTCTTAAAACGTTGGTGGAGGGTGGTACTTGTACCTTTCATGAAGGGTCCTAATATTGAGGATCCTCCGCCCCCTATATTTCAATTGTATTTCTGAAACTCTGATTTGAAGAGAAAAACAACGCAGTAACCGACTAGTACGGTGTGGTGTTGGCAACTAAGCGAGATCCGAATGCAGAGCTCGAAGAAGGATGCGAGTTGAAGCGCAGAAAGTTGGTTGGTGCAGGTTAGCGGTTTGGATTACACCACACAAACCTCACACCTCTGGCCTCTGAGCAAGCGGAACTACTGAGGCCTGTGGAATTTGCTGTAGAACCATCAGATGGAGCTGGTTGCCCTGGGCAACCTACGCATATACATGCTCCGGCAATTCTCCACAAGTAGCCTGCAACACCCTGGGCGATGGAGAGACAGGAAAACCAATGCAAAGACCAAATACCTAGACCTACACACTCCCAGCTCCGCCGCCTTCGCCACACCTCTGAACCCTAAACCATGCATGTTGAGAGGACTCACAAGTGCCAGGTGCCCGAAGCCATGTTGTCTTAACCAAAGCAAAGTAATACAGCCTCCTCAAGCTTAATCCGTGAGCCCTATATACTTGAGATGGTCACAGCTAACCAAAGCTCCCAAGACCACCTGGTGAGCCCAAGAACGCAAACCATTGTGACGGGAGCACGAAGCCATACTGAACTGTCAAGTCTTTAGTTTACAGGCTGCAGAAGAAATTACACTCACCAAAGCCGCAATGCATAAAGCCCGCTCCATAAGAATTCCACAAAAACTGCGACAAGAACAACAACCTCGAACCAAGCCAAACAAAAACATCGAAACACAACCACCAAACCGTAAACCCTAAACCCCTAAACCAAAGCCCAAAACCCAAGCAAATCGCAGGAAAAAAAAACCCTGGAAACCGAAGAAGAAACCAAAAACCAGCGCTGAGGCCGGCTGCTCCCCGAGGCTGAGGTTTTTGAAGATGATGAAGAAGGTCCGGATCTTGGGGTTTAGGGTTCTTAGGATTATGCATCTTGGGGTTTAGGGGGGTTTTTAGGATTTGGAGGATCTTTAGGATTTTAAAAGTTTGAATTAGGATTTGCAGGATTTTGAAGATCTTTAGGACATTTAAGACGTTTGAGGATCTCGGGCTTCGGAATCTTAGAAGGTCCGGATCTTGGGCTTAGGAGTTCTTAGGATTTGGCAGGATTTTGAAGATCTTTAGGATATTGAAGGCTTTTGAGGATCTTTAAGGATGTTTGAGGATCTTTTGGGATGTATAGGACTTTTAGGGCTTTAAGGTTAAGGGTTTCAGGGCTTAGGGTTAAGGGTTTCGGGGCTTAGGGTTAAGGGTTTCGGGGCTTAGGGTTTAAGCTTTCAGGGCTTATTGTTCAAGGGGTCAGGGTTGTAAGGTTCAGGGCTTTAGGGTTGGGTCCGGATCTCGGCAAGAGAAGGGGCACAGAGAGCTGAAGGGTTTGGGGTTTAGGGGGTCTCCAGGTTCGGGTTTAGGGTTGTGGGGTGTTGGGGTTTCAAGTTTAGGATTCAGCCTGGAGGGATTCAGCGGCGATATGTTGCTCAAACGGTGCTTTCTTCAAGACGGTTTCTTCTTATCTTTCATGCTTCTTTACTACAATTTGCAGATGAGGGGCTTGCGGGCCTAGCGTCTCAGGTGGAACCCTGCACAAAACCGTCCGCCCTGGCCCTTCCCCTCCCCTTCCAAAAACCCGCCCGACATTCACATCCTGGGGTTCCACGTCCAACCATGTCCGCATCTTGCTACCCCAACCACAAGTCTGAAATCCTGAAGTCCCGTGCTTGTGTGTGTGCTGTACCAGTCTAAAGCAACACGCCGCTTCGGTCAAGCGCTATCTAGCCCATGTTGAACCTTCGAAAGGGCGATGGTCTGGTGAATTTATGCATGTCTCTATGCACACATGTATCGGGTTATGTATGCTAACGAATGCACGGAGATAGGCACTGATCTACTTGCGCAGATCCAAACATTACCCGAAGGCCGAAGGCATACCGGACGTGCGATGAGGAATGTTCAACCCACAGAAACCTCGAAAGAACAGGACCCCGAGTGCCGCACCGTCGTCAGCAAGAAAGCATAGACCATGAAGTAGCTAAAGGTGGCCATGTTCGTCGCCAAACACGCGCGGCCTCTCGCTGAAGGGTCGAATCCTAGGTTCCTAAACCCCTACACCCTACCTATATATCTTACTGTTAATAATCTGTCATGATATATGCACAAACACATACGCCATACATGTACTCATACTCATATACACTTACATCTATAATTGCACATATATATATATACATACATATACATACACATACGTGCACACTCAATCTGTGTATGTATGCATGCATGCATGTATGTATGTATGTAATCCGCTAAACGCTTGCCTCTAAATTCTAATCACCGAATGTACACCTCAACCCTATACTACCCAAAACTCTATAATGATTAAAACTCTGATCCCTAAACTCGAACCCCCTAATCACGGAAACCGAAAAAGCCTAAGATCGCATCACGCAGACATGTCTGCAGGTTACGGCGGGAGTTGCCAGTCTCGATGTCGGGGGGCCTTTGCTTTGAACAGGATTTCGGGATATACAGAAATCTAGGGGCTAGAATTAAGAGAAAAATATTACCAAACGTTCCGACCCCTATATTGACATTATTCACCTCAAACATAGCGGTTATACGGCCCTATCAGCTTCAAAAACGCTCCTAAACCGTACATCACATAGCATGGTTCCCATAGTATGGCTTGGGGACGCGAAAACCCCAGACCCTGACCCCAAAAGCTTGAACAACACCATGCATGCTTAGACTCGTTCAAGCCTTTGCTATCATGGCTTTGGATGGTCTTGGGGTCCACAGGCTCCATAGTAGCTCCCTTTTGGGTTTACCGTATAGGGTTCTAAACATGAACCCCAAAAGGAACTACTATGGAGCCTCCAGGCAAAGCCTCAAACTATGGAACCCATTGAGCCTTCCCGTATCAGGTCCGGCACGGTCGTCAGGGAGATGTCGTTCCTCGCGGCACCTTCAAGGCTGCGGAGGGGCGGCGGGATGACGGCTCAAGGTCGACGGTGATGGGATTTAGGGTTGGGGGCAAAAGATATGAAAGGCACGAAGGTTTCGTTCATTCGGGCTCCAAGCGGTTTATATGGGTTTCGCTTCGATTTAGTAGGAGTTTCGAGTTTCTGCGCTTCGCTTGCGCAGAGTCGCGGGTAATGCAACGAATACCTCCACATGTCCCTGGAAAACCCCAAAAATCCCCAACCCTAAAACCTGGACACCACATATTCCGGGATCCTCTGCTCGACGTGTTTAGCGCTCTGGGACTAAAAACATGTCAGGTGACATGTCTAACAGAAGATGTTCATGTAGCTAGATGGATCTGCCCTCAAAGCACTACAGGATGTCGCGGGCCCGGGGATCCATATAATCCGCCCCCCACCACCACTAGAATCCTGCGACCTCATTGATGCACAATTAGGGTCCGGGAGTTCTTGCTTTGGGCTCGGGTCCGGGTTTCGGGGTCGCTTCAAGGTCAGCTGTGTGGGAAAGGTTGGTAGCGGCAGGGTCACGGCTTAAGCAGGGCTTGGGTCTGGGGTCGGGAGGGTTTACAAGGAGGGTTTACAAAGATTATTAAGGGATTGGGACTCTGGGCTGTTTTGGCTTGGGCAAGCTACTGAAAAGGTCCAGGATTCAGATTCTGCGTGTTCTGAGTCCCTCAACTTTTCAGCGGACCAGCTTGCCAATCTCTGGCATCCTCGGATTTTGAGGATTCCGACGGCAACATCGCTTTGCGCCGCCGCACCTTTGCCGAGATGTCTTGGGTCGGCCTCAGTCTCGACCAACCGCGAGAGGACGAGAGACTTCCCTTTGTCCAGCTCCAAGACTGGGATCGATATTGATCGGGGGTGTGTGCATCAGATATACCGGGCCGGCATAGATTTCGGCTCTTGACGCATCACAACGTTGCTACATATAGTCCAAGACTCTTGCAGCCACAGTCGTCGAGCACGCATCACATGTGGACTTGGCCGAGACGGTACGCGAAGAGTCTTGTCACTCAGTATTTTCAAACCATTTGCAAGTTCGGCTGAACAAAACCCACGGACACGCTTAAGGGACTTTACGCCAATACAATAAATGCAAACCCCAAACCCATCACTTAGAAGACCCTGCTTCCAGACCCAATCAAAAAGCCTTATAAGCCCCAAGCCCTAGACCCCGCGGACCACGGCCCTAGCCCTCTTAAAGAACGAGCCCTGGCTGCACCCTTGCCCATGCGGCCCGTGGAGAACGGAGCCACCATGGAGGCCTGCGGCGGAACCGGCGCCCACCCCGAGCTTCAGGCTTCAGGGTTCCTTGTTTAGGCTAGGGTTTAAGGGTTAAGGCCCTTAGGCTCTTTGGGGTTTAGGGTTTATAAGGGTTTAGGCCCCTAGGCTGTTCGGGGTTTAGGGTTTATAAGGGTTTGGGCTCTTTGGGGTTTAGGGTTGAGGCTAGGTTCGGGAATGTAGTTCAGGTTGAAGCTGAAGGGATGGGGTTTAGCATAGGCCCAGTCTTGCCCAGGCGGTATGTCGTTCCGTCTCGGGCCCCCAATCCTAAACCCCTGAACGGCGATCAGGTCTGGGCTACATGTTCAGGCCTGACTGAAGTATCGGGAAAACTGAGGGGGGGGGGGAGCTATATAACTAAAAGTGCAAACCCTGAGACCCCAAAACCCGAAAGGTCGGTCTATTTGCTCTCTACGCAAAGGTCCATGACCCATGACCAACTTCCGTAGTAATGTATAACCCCTAAACCAAGAGCTTGTTGGGATTTACTTGCAGGGGCCCCTGAACCCCGAACCCTAAACCACAAACCCTCAACCAAAAGCAAAGTGTAAGACCGCAAAGCTCGGACATGGCACACTGGGACATGCGGAGCTGCGCGTTTAGGTCTGGAGATGAGGTGGTTCGGCTCATGGCTTTAATGTCATGTGCCCAAGTAGTATATACGATGGCCCTAAAGTACCTATGTACTTATCGGGACTTCTTGAAGGCCACAGTAAGTACCATGTTTAGGTTTACAAGTTCTTCTGTTTCGGGATGTGGCGAGTGCTTGATAGATTTGCCAACTTTACGTAGATCTTAGGGCTTGCAATTGAGGCGCATCGCATTGGGACTGAACGCTGCCTCGCCAAGAGCACCTAGACCACCGCCGAAGCCCAGACTCAAGCAACAGATACCCCACATCACCAATATCTACACCATGCTAGAGGGAACTTAAAATGAGTAGATTAGGGTGTTGGGACGTGTAACCTAACTGGTACTAATATGTACTAATTCAGGCCACTTTCATGTAAGACCCTAAGCCACATGTAAATCCCAAGACTCCAAATCCTGGACCCTACCCTAAACCCTACACCCTCAACATCCCTAGGAAGAGTACATCCTAACTCCTAAACCCTGCTGTATAATACAGGGGCCTAAGCAATTAGACTAGGGGATTGCGGTATATTATGCTAAAAAACCATAATACGGAACCCCCACATTAGTATAGGTAACTCCTTATAGGACCCTTCAACAATTGACCCTACCGTGCACACCCCGAGGAGGAAGCCTCGGCATCTGACAAAGCCAGACCGGCATGAGCTGCGCGAAGGCCGCCACAGTCGTTGCCGCCATCGCCGGCCATGCCTTTTCGGGGTTTCTCTAAGGTGCTTTGAGGGTTCAGAGTTTAGGGTCTATAGGGTCCGGGGTTTCGGGGGGTAAATCGCGTAGGGTTCAGGGTTGTGGTGTATACTATTGATGTTGAGTTGGTTGCTTTGGGCTCTATATAATGGATCGCATAATTTGTCTATAGACATCGATACATACACAGAGAGGATGACGGGAGCCAGCTGTCGGACTGCAGCCATGATCCACCTGGCAGGAAGACATGAAGAGTCGCTGATGTTGTCCACCCAAAGGGTCCACATATACTACCATGATGGAATTCCAAAGAGCATCCTCACTATGGTTTTGGGAAGCAATTGCATGATAGAAGTATATATGGGAGTTTCCGAAAATAGAGGACCCTAGTATAGTACCCTAAATAGTAGGATCCTTATTATAAGGACCCCAAAAGAAGGTACCACCCCCAATTTTCGGAAACTCTCCCATATATGGACCCTCTTGGTAAGGTGCCCAAGCCCTGAACCCCCCATCTCCCCCAAACCCTAAACCCTTTAGGGTTTAGGGTTTAGGGTTTAGGGCTTTTAGGGTTTAGGGTTTAGGGTTTAGGGTTTAGGGTTTAGGATTTAGGGTTTAGGGTTTAGGGTTTAGGGTTTAGGATTTAGGGTTTAGGGTTTAGGGTTTAGGGTTTAGGGTTTAGGGCTAAACAAAACACCACGAGCCCCAGCACAGGACCCCTGTTTTTTGGGGGTCTGTACAACAGGGGCCTTCATAATTAGAATAAGGCTTTGGGACCCAGTATACTATAACTACACTAAGGAGCCTCCAAAATAGTCATTCTAGGTAATTCTTGAGGCCCCTTTACTAGGGGGTTTTAGGGTTTCGGGCCTCCCGTCCTCAATTTCGTTCCGACACCGGCTCTACCGAAGCCTCTCATCCTTTGCGGCGCATCCCCAAGTCCCAAGCGCGAGGTTCATAGAATACAGACTATGCAATGCATGCTTTAGGTACCTCAGGTTCAAGGCCCGTGGCTTATATAGGGCCGCTAAGGTCTGCTGTACATGACAGTTTTGAACACCCAACACCCGCACGTAAAGTCTGCCTCACCAGCTGGGCGAGCAAGCCATGGCCTGAAACCTTACAACAAATTCCCAACCCTAAGCTGTCAGCTGTCTTTGCTTATCAGACATGAGCCTGCGGTTCATCCACGATGCTAGCAGCTAGCGCGCTTTCTGCATGAACAACCTTGTGTAAGCAAACAGCTGGAATCCCGCAATCATCCGGAAACCGACCTGATGCCACAACGTTAAACTTATGCCCTCATCCGAAAATGCCTTAAACCCCTCGATCCAGGACCCTGCTTGAGGCCGCGGCCCACAACCAAACCTCGACTTTGAAGGTACTTCACTACCTCAGGTTGAGAGTTCTTGCTTCAACCGAAACTCTAGTTTACATGTATCAATGCAATGTATCTCAATATATTCGACCAGACTACTATATCTTGCTAAAACCGGGTTCAAAGTTCTGGTTATACGAGAGGAGGCTCCCAGGGAAGAACACAAGCCACTCAACTTTCATGCCCCATGTAACCCATGAGACTGTGTTTTCGTTTCGCTCCTCTTCTTCATGACCAAAGCCTCATGACCCAGAACCTCAAGACCTACCTATAGTCTCCATTGTAGTTCACTTCTTGGGTTAGCCAAAATCTCTATTATCGGATCCTAACCATAAAACTGGTTAACCAAAAAAAGACCTACAATGGAGACTATAGGTAAACCTCAAGAAGCCCTGACCCTAAGCCCCTAAGCTCCGAAAGACCCGAACCTGGCGTTCTTAAATCCTTAGTCCCTCGTGCCTAACACTAGATGAATAGGCGATTACCAAACATGTAGATGCGAGCATGTTTGTGTGTATATATATATATATACATATACATACATAGATGCGATTGTATATGGCTTGTTTTGCGGGCCAAGCTTGAGAACTTAGTCAGGCCCCTGTCTGAACAGAGTTACGCAAAGCTTGGTCGTGCAGTTTATGTTTAAACCGAAGCCGGATGAAACCCAAGACCCTGACCACCCTGAACCCTGAGCCCCAAATCAAGGATTTAGGGCTTTAAGGGTTAAGGGTTTAGGGTTTAGGGTTCCGAAACTTCAATCATCGGGGCCTGGAGAACTTCTCGGACTAAAAGCAAGCGGTGTGAGGCATGAACCATCCACGGCATTCCGCAGCCACCACGCCTCAAAATACTTTGCAACCCCAGCCGCGTCCACTACCGTGAGCACTGCAGAAAGTCCGCCAAACCCTAACTTAGTACCATGGGCCCGCTGTCGTTGCGAACAGATTACGTTGATCTTGTCATCCGGCTTCATGCGGGCGAAGACTACACACCTGGGCCAAAGCTCCTGAACATCAGAGTTGCAAGGTCTGGCTGAAGATTCCTTTGGTATGCGGTGCACACGAGGGAGTCTTTGGAATGGCAGCCATTAGGAAGTCGAAAGCTGAGTGCCTCCAACGATGCCATGGTGCGGATCCTTAAGAACGCTTGGACAACTTAGTTGCTGAGTTCATACGCCCCAAAAAGTGTACACTTTCGGTTTTCTAGTGGGTAATATTCATTATCCCCAAAAGCGTAAAGTGTATCCACTCAGCTACTAAGGCAAGGGGCTTGAAAGTTTGGGGAGGTCAGCACTGAGCCTGGAGCGCTGTAGATTCGAGGTTTCGGGTATGCAGGAGATCCGGGATTTGTTTTGGCTTCGTTCTCAAAGCGATTCCCCATCCAACAAATGTATGCATGCCTTCTTCAAAGCTGTTAAACGTTAATACGCAGGGCTATGGATGGCCACACTGGTCGACGTTTCTGGACATATGCTTGACATTTCAAGCCATGTTCCCTCTGACCCAAGTGTCCAGCTCAACTCACAACCACACGGGCAACCGTAAGCCCCCATCACTGAGCTTGAAACAAGCTTCCATTGCGAAACTCAGCCAAAGGCTACTGGGCATCATCCGACAGACATGGCAAATCCTTCATGCGAACTGTTCCAAAACTTTGTGCTGCAAGATGCTTCAAACGGAACGGCATGTGCTACAAACCCTAAACCCTAAACCCTGAGGCCTAAACCCTAAACCCTGAACCCTAAACCCTAAACCTAAACCCTGAACCCTAAACCCTAAACCCTTCACCTGCAACCAGGAGCGGTCCTCAAGCAGCTTCGTGTCGGTTGTGTAGAGGTGTCTCCAGGCTGCACACGTCAGCGCCAGTTGGCCTTGAAATGGAGGGTTTACTTATAGTCTCCATTGTAACTCCTTCTTTTGGTTAACCAGTGTTATGGTTAGGATCCTATAGTAGAGATGTTGGTTGACCAAAAAAAGGAACTACAATGGATACTATAGGTAGTGTTGAAGGATGGTTTAGGGGTTTCGGGTTTACATAGGGGTCTAGGATGGTTTGGGGTTCAGGGTTTCCATGTCAATTCGATCATGGTCTGTGTGGGATTCGTCTTCACGGAGCAGGTTTTGGAGACAAATCCACTGAAAACCATCAGCATCAATCAGCATTGGTTCTTGCTGATACTTACTGAAGACAGCAATGACGAGATCCTCCACCCGAAAGGCTGCAGAAGGCTTTATGGGTGTTTCACCCGGCCTGTATGTGGCATGTATCGACCCCAACTGGGAACACGAAACTACACAGTGAAACCAGTGACAATCTTTTGGAAGTGCCTCGGCTTTGCATATGGATGCGAAGTTCACGACATGAAAACTTATTCTGCAATACTGCTTTCGTATCCAGTCCGTCCCCTCGGGGCTTGAACAGCGTGATTTGAGCAGGATGCCTTACAATTCGGCCACAGCGCCGGATTTCCGCAAACATCCGAGGCCTGCATGCTTGAAGTAAGGACGTAGATGTTGTTAGAGCCAAAGCAACCATGAAAGCAAAAAGGTCAGTCTCCAACATGCACATTTTAATTGACACCGTGTCGCAGTGTGGATCTGGGCTGTCCGGAGTGACCTCGCCAATAGGTCGCCCAAACACAACTGTTCGAAGACTTGAGCCTACAGGCGAAGCCGCCAAAAAATAAACACAAGCCTCAAAATCCATACCTGACGTTACATCGTGTCAAGGTCCAGAACCACATATATAGATCGGGTATGATTGGGTCGCGCGTGGCTTTGCGCCACAGGTGTTTAAAGTTCTCGAAGATTTCAGTTCAAGTGGCACCCAACGCACACATTCGGTCCAAGCACGGCGCAATGCGTGCTTCATGCAACGGCGCGCGAAACAACATACGTAGTTATGGTTTTGCAATCGGATCATCAGTTGTCCGCAGCACCTGTTATTCAGAACAATCAAGCAATGGTCACGTGTCCCATACGTTGTTGCGTATTCATTGTCAGGGCAGTTGCTGGCAAGCCGCAAATTGTAAACTGAAGCAGCGTTCAGGGTTTAGTATATAAGGACGAGGCACAGCTACACACACACAAATTCGCAAGTGCTTGCTGTCGGCTGCGTTCCACAGATGTGCTTCGCACGGATATACTTCCTCCAGTAAAACAGTTCTTTCAGCACGACTCCCGCGATCCACAAATCGGTAGACTAGAATATGCAACCAATGCATGGATTCCGTTCATAAACGAGCAAACCCGGGCATCATGATTTGCCGAAGCCTATGTCTACCTTAATCGACACTAAAGTTCCGCCACTATTCGCTGTTGATGCAAGGCAAGCCGAAAGAGTCCATTTCGTCGCAGGAAATACGGCATTGCCGCAATGCTGGTCTTTGGAAGCTTCTTGTCTTGGTTTTGAGGATGACACTATTGAAAAGTAGACGGCAGCTGCTCTGCAAAGACAGCTTGCAACTTCTCAGTGCGCAGTCTTGGAAAAGTGGGATCGGACCCCATCAGAGTTGATTGGAAAGGTTCAATCCAGAAAGGGGCGACAGGAAAAACCGTTTCCCCAAAGGGTCCAAAGTACCGATATAGTAGAATGCCGGGTTTCTATATTAGGAATTACTTTTCTGATTTGGCGAAGTATTCCCCATAAAATTAAAGTACATAGGACCCTTTGGGTTCTAGAATCTAGAAGAAAACCGGGCGACTCGTCGAGTGGCAGGGGATTCTCTGCGATGCTATGACACTCTGGCTCCGTCTGTAACACTCACAAACGAGGACAACAGCTGTTCTGCTGCTACTGATGCATCTGTACTTTATGATAGGTAACCTGTGCTCATAACGTGCTGAGACGGATCCCTTAAAGGATACGTTAGGGATCAGTGAGAGATATAGTACAATCATGAAGGCCATGTCTGTCGTTGCCAGAAACACAATCATAGTCAGGGCCCTTATCAGCCTTATCGTGGCCCTGGACATCGCTAACAGTGACCTTTTGTGTTCATGTGGGGATTTTTGGAGAGAGCTGAACACACGCCAAAATGCAAACCCAAAGCCGTGCACGCCATCAGGGCATGGGGCTCCTAGTTCAACTTCGTCCCCCTTTGCCCCACAACTCACACTTACAAAAATGCAAACCCGCAAGATAGACTTCCCCCTGCACCGGTCCTGACAAAAGGATCCCCAGAATAACCGTCGTGAGGGGCCAGAGTATAAACTCAAGCAGCTGCGAAAGCTAAACTCAGAAGATCCAGGACCATGTGCCAGCGGTGTAGGGTTTGGGGTAACAGTGCGAGATTAAACTTCTGACCGAAGCCAGCATAGGGTTCTTGCCTTTTGCCAGCCGGCGACAACATCCCCACTGCTTCATCCTCTTCCGAAAACTAAATCCCGAAGACCAATAGTTGAAGCTGGAAAGCCATGCTTCAACCGACAATATATCGGATACATCGTTCGTGCATGAGGGGGGGTGGATTCAGACACAGGGAAGCCAAAGACCGAGAGGAGAAACTTAACGAATATGAAGGCCTAGCACACCCTTAGCCCAACACTAAAGCAAGCCACTAGAAACAGATCACTGGGCCCAATGTCGTCAACCTAGGCTTTGTAAGAGAGACTCTATGCAATATTTCTTGGAGCCGTTGGGAACTTATCGTATGTCCCCCCCAAATCTACCAGCATACGGTCCGTGTACTTAAGATTACGATAGAGTATGGGTTAGAGTATGCTATGCAAAAAAGTCAGTCTTCTGTATAACCCACTCTTCTTTCAGGCTCCTGCGGGTATGTACTTAAGTGAGGCCAAGCCTGCAGCCGTGAAGCCCAGACGACTTATAAAGCATCCAATGGAACTGTATCTAATCTCACTGGTTGATTTCTCATCCTCCTTCAGAGAAGAAGCCTACACCCAAAGCCGCTGATCTACAAATCCCGAGCAGCAAGGCACATTAGAAGCTTTACTTCGTCGTGGCATCTAACGTTGTGCCGGCCTGCATTGAGCAGCCCTGAAGAATTCGGAAGTTGACATCTACGGAGCCTGGCTACCTGCACCGTGGCTTCTGTTCCAAAGTAGCTACAGCAACCCTCTGGGAAGCTACAGGTCAACACGTTGTGAACCCGGGATCAGAGTACGCCAAAAAAGTCAAAACGATTGACTACCCCACTGCTAAGTTCAAGTATGGGAGTTTCCGAAAATTAGGGGGTCCCTTATTTCGGGGTGCCTTTGTGTTGGGATCCTACTATTTAGGGTACTCTATTAGGATCCCCTATTTTCGGAAACTCCCGTATCTGAACCCCTACCGAAGGCTCATGGCAGGGAAGCATGAACTTTGACCCCCACATCAATGCACCAAAGCTTGGGGTATAGGGGTTTAGGGTTTAGGGTTTAGGGGTTTAGGGGTTTAGGGTTTAGGGGTTTAGGGTTTAGGGTTTAGGGGGTATAGGGGCAAAGGATTTAGGGTTCTTAAGACTCAGAAGACTCTAACACGTAAGACGCTGCCCCAGTCGAAAATCCCCAAATCAAAAAAAAAACTAGGCCTAACAACCGAACACATCGAGAACCCATACAGCCCTACTCAACCCTAACCCTTCGAACCCTGCCCTAAAAAAACGAAACCCGATATTCCTAAACCCTGGAGCCTAAACCTTAAACCCTACCGCCCTCAATGTCCCTACTACTATACTGAACTTAGAACCCTAGCAAAAATGATAATCTTGGCTGTTTCTTAGGGTTTATAATAACCCAAAGTTAAAAGTTAGTTCTAAGTACCCCTAAGTTACCCGGAAAAGTGAAGCCCTGAACTGACGGGCGAAGGGACACGACGCTGCTCGTTCTCGGGATCTGTCCACACCAGCCGACCTCGTGGTTGGGTTTGGTGTTTTGAGTTTAGGGTTTAGGAGTTTAGGGGTTAAGGGTGTGTGTGTGTGTGTGTGTGTGTGCGTGTGTGTGTGTGTGTGTGTTTGTGTGTGTGTGTGTTTTGTTTTAATGGGCTCTTTTCCAACTGCAGGTACAGCGGGAATTCCTTACCATGGGTGCCTGTCGTCGGGGCCTCTGCGTTTAGGGTTTAGGGTTTGCTGATCAGGTAGTTCTCCTTTAAAAGGCCCGAGTCCGGGAGCAGGGCTCCTTTAAGGGTGATTGAAAGGGATCTATGATGTATGTAGGGGCTTCATAATCAGAATAGGGTTTTATAGTAGTCTAAAAGACGGGAACTGTAAGAGTACTCAGGCCTCCATGTTCGGCTTCTTTTAAAAACTTTTAAAGGGTTGCTCTAGGGGTTCCTTTGAGGCTCGAGGACAAGTACTGTAGGCCTTAAAAGCTTTAGAGTTTATAGGGCTCAGGGTTGTAGGATTCAAGGTTAAAGGCCTGCGTTTGGAGGGTTTCATACAGGCGCGTAATCCCGAAGTTTTACATCCAGAAAACTGCATATACTGGGATCCCACCCAGTACATATATATATATATACACACACACATAAAGAGAGAGGAAGAGGGAGAGAAAGAGAGCGAGAGAGAGATATAGAAATTACTATATATATATACACACACATAGATCATATAGATACCCCTCAAAACCAGAACCCTCTGACCCCAACAAAAACCGAAACCCCGGTAAACCCCGATCCCCAAAATGCTGTGAAGACTGAACCCGAGCTAAGCCATAAATACCAAAACCACGCTAAACTCTGAAACCCCCATGCTAGCTCGACACAAGTTCTGATAGCATTCAGTTACAACACTCTACGCCAAACCCGGTGGCAACTGATAATTCAAGCCCTGCGCCATATTCGCTACACTTCCTCGGCCAACCGCACATCCTCTAAAGCATGCACAGGCATATTGCCACCTAGAGCGCTGTTAATTACTCTCGCCGAATCCTCTTATGAATTGCCAACCTCAAGCCCCTCAACCCTAAACCTCAAAGCCTGAACCCTAAACTCTCACCTAAAGCCTGAACAAAGCCCGAGACAATGCAACATCACACATAGCCCAGTCATAGGAGTGCCATGACACCGCATTTTTCTCCACAGGCTCCTATATTTGGTGGTGCATGCATGTGTCCAGCGGTTATAGCGAATCCCAGAAAGTTGGAACATGGGTAGGATCCCTTATATATTGCCTTCAGGGCATGAGGATACTCATGTTCCAACTTGCTGGTTTGCTCTGTACATACAGGAAGCCCCTCAGACTAGAGTATTTTAAGGTCCTATTCCAAGTGCCGCACCGTCCACGACTGCGCCGCGAAGACAGGTATGAGACATCACGATTCCGCAGGCCCTCATAGTGGCTGGGATAGCGCTTTGTAATGGATCGGGATGTAATGCGGTTTACGGCGGTTGAAAGGAAGGGCAGATCGCATGAGAGCTGCGAAACCCGACAATGCGACAGACTGAAGAGCTCGTCCACAAACTTAATACCGGGGCACAGTCGGCTGTAGGCTGTAGACTTTTTTGATTCGGGTTCAGGCTGGTGATTGCTTCAACCCGGCCATAAAGGGCTCAACAGTTCCGATCCGATCTCGTTTCCAAGCCGAAAATGCACCTTCAACCCAAATCCCTTCTCAACATCAGAAGTCCTAAGGAAACCTAGAAGAACATGCAGCTTCAACCCAAATAACACCTTCTCTTCTCTAGAAGCCCTAGAAAACCCTAGATCCCTAAAGAAACCTAGATCCCTAAAGAAACCTCGAAGCGCCAGAGATCCCTCGAAGCCCCCAAGAAAGCTCTCAAAGAGCGAAGGACTCGATGACTTGGAACTCCTACAGAAACCCCTTATGCTGTACGGTTGATTGTATAAACTCTGCATTACCCATAATAAGGAATATACCAAAATTCAGAGTCCTTAAGGTAAGGTAATGCAGGATTGATATCATAAACCGTAGTAACCCTTTCAAGGAACACTTGCAGGAACCCCAGGAAGGCGGCCTGAAACCCTCAAGGGCTCGGGGCTTCGAGTCCACCTGTAGCCGAAAAGACCTACCTTTTAAAGCAACCATATTTATATGTGGGAGCTTCCGAAATAAGGGGTTACCATATTTTCAGGTCCTCATAAGAAGGATCCTACTATTTAGGGTACTAGATTAGTGTCCCCTATTTTCGGAAATTCCCATATATAGAAACCACAATCAGGAACCCTAAAAAAGGTAAGTCTTTCCGGCTACAGCTTTTAAGGAACTATATGTAGAAACCACAATAAGGAACCCTAAAAAAAGTAGGTCTTTCCGGCTACAGTTTTTAAGGAAGTATATATAGAAACCCCAATAAGGAACCCCCAAAAAAGGGTAGGTCTTTCCGGCTTGGGGTCCAGGGGTCCGGGGCTTAGGGTTTGGCGTTCGAAGCTGCCCCCACCCTGTAGTAGTGACTATAAGGATTATATTAGGGCCCTCTTGTGTTCCTGTTATACCACTATCCTAACCTTATTATGATTTAGGTCGGCCTCCACCCTGTAATAGTGACTACAAGGATTATATTAGGGCCCTATTATACTCCTACTATACCACTATTACAGGGTGGGGGCCCCTTGTAAGTTCGGCGGCTTAGGGTTCCGCGCCTGCCGATGGCGATTCCAGTAAGCTCCTGGGCCGGGATGCACAATAATTTAGATGGGAATGATCACAAAAATAATTGGTAATAACAATGATAATAGTCACGAAAACAGTAATTGTAGTAATTTGGATACATACAACAATAACAGTAGCAATAACAAAAAAATAATAACAACAGTGGTGAGGGCGACAATACACTAGTAAAACCTTGGACTCTGAACTCGCTGCTCGTGCGCCCATTAAATTAAGATATCCTGAGTGTCCGAAAATAGGGGTACCGTATTTTGGGATCCTTATACCAAGGATTTTTTTAGGGTACTATATTAGGAAGTTCACATATGCCGAAGAATCAGCATATGGTTCCGATCTGCCCCGAATCGCGAATCCCACAAGTCCAGCAAACATCGGTTTAGGGTTTATTGGTCTAGGGTCTAGGATTTACGGTTGAGGGGTTGAACTTCTGCTTGCAAGGGATCCGTTGCCCACAAGGACTGTAGCCTCGCATGGCAAAGAGTTGAATGCGTCCGGCGGCAAGCGGCTCGATCTTGTCAGGGTTTCAGGCAGCTGACTCTAGACCCGAAACTTCTAAAACCAAGCCCCTTAGCCCTTTTCCCTGAACGATAAGAACAATACTTCAATCATAAGAGCAATACTTCAGGACTGAATATGTACACAGTATGCATGCCTGCGGTCTTGCAAAACTTGGTTACGGAGCCTTAAGTTACCAAAAAAGCAGGGATCCTATTTACTATATGTGTGTGTGTGTGTGTACATGTCTGAATACCAATACTAAGACTAGTAGCAACATTATATCCGGATTCTGGAAACTTGCGCTGAGTCCCTTAAGTAGGTAGTATTATTAGGGAGACCCCTTAAAAGGTACCCCTTCTGAACCCTACTTCTGGCTCTCTTAAAAGGGGCCTTATTGAGAGGGTCTACGTCCCCAAGGGTCCCCCTAATCTTAACTCCGATTAAGCAAACAGCCAGGAGTCGTTGTCGCCTGTGCAGATCACGGAGCGGACAGAACCTGCCCGAAAGGGTCGATGAAACAGAGCGCCTTGGGGTTTAGGGCTTAGGGTTTAGGGTTTAGGGTTTGGGGTTTGGGGTTTGGGGTTTAGGGTTTAGGGTTTAGGGTCTAGGGTTTGGGGCTTAGGGTCTAGGGTTTGGGGTTTAGGGTTTAAGGCTTAGGGCTAGGGCTTATTGCTACGAACACTGCAGCACTACCGACTTCTGAGTTGTGCAAAGTATAGCCTCGTGAAATACTCTTCGACTGTGATACCATTCCTGCGGTGTTGCTGCGGTACTGCTCCAGTAACATAGTGCTTATAACTACAAAGAACACACAATGTTAAATCACTGCGATCCTCACCATGACCAAATCCTCGACCCTATAAACTTCTTTGGCCCTAAACCTGCTGATACCCTGCGCCTGTAGACCTAAAGCCTAAGACCGACACCACGCAACCTGAACCCGAGCGCCCAATAGGTAGATATCCCTACAAACTTGTTTACCTAGTTGCTGAGTTCATAAGGCCAAAAAAAGTGAACACTTATAGTTTTATAGTGGGTAATATTATCCCAACAAGTGTAAAGTGTATCCACTCAGCTACTAAGTTTGCTGTACTTGTGGTTGCACCAGTGTCTAACTACAGGCCCTGTGGGCGAAACATGTATACTCCCAAGCCGAACTCTTTGTGGGTCTAGCTCCATGGTCTGAAGAAGTAATTAGCAATGGTATCTTCTTTATAGGCCCTTGTATCCCTCTATCTATCTAACTATCTATATAAGTATCTGTATCTATATATGTATATATCTGTCGGTTTATTCTACACTTTAGGACAATAGCAATAATCATCATCATCATAGTCATAACCTTTGGTAGAATATCTAATAATGCCGCAGGAGGCCCCAAACCTTAGAATAAGCATTGCTGCAAGGTTGTATTCTATAGTCCCTGTAAACATACCGTATCATGCCCAGGACCATAAACGATTACGTCAGGCCCCCAACCCTAAGCCGGATCTTCTAGCAAACATCATGGTATACCCTGGAGCCCTAAACCTTAAAGCCCTAAGCCCTCAACTCCTGAACTCTACATGCAGGGGCCTTAATAGTTAGAATATGGTGTTGGGGCCCATTGTACTCTTTCCATGCCTGTGATGAGGAATCCCCCAAAATAGCATTGGTAAATAAACAGAACCCCTATAGTAAAACCCTAAAACCCGATCATAAAGTCCACCTTTGTTAAGACCACCCGGGCCTTCTTTGAGGCTCTCGATGGCTTCCGGGGAGTCTGCCTTCATCTCCTTGCGAGGGGGTGGGGGGTTTGTGCAGGGTGGCAGGGCTTTGAGTGAAGTTGGCCGCGTTGGGGCTAGGGGTTCAGGGAATGAATGCTTACAGTAGAAGCCAGAAAGTTGGAATATGATTATCCTAAACCCTTTATGGTGAATTATAGGGTATCCTACCCTGAAACCATATTCCAACTTTCTGGAGTTCCCTTTAAGGTTGTGGGTTTTGGGGGGAGTCAGGAGTCCCTGAGGACAGCTGTACGGCCGAATCAAGAACCAAAGAAGACAGAATGACAATGAGATTGGGAGAACAAAGTGCCATGCAAAGCTTGTGCGCTAGAATACAGTGGGATTCGGAGAGAAAAGTGTCATGCAAAGCTTGTGCGCTCTCGCTCTACTGCAGGTTGTGCCAGAGACCAAAGTACAGGCATCCAGGGTGTTTGCAAGTTATCATCAAGGCGTACTGTAGGGATGAACATGCGATGAACCGCTGCAGCCGCAGCGTCATTTCGGAACAGGAGCAGTCCACAAATGTTGACGAAGGATTCGAGCTGCTCCTGAGTCAGCATGCTGTTTGAATGAAGTCTCGCGATTGGCAGTGGCTTGTCGTTTGAACTCCTTTTTTCCGACGGGTTGAGGTTTAGGATGCAGTTGTAAGTACTACGAAGTGTCGCACTTGCTGCTGTCCGCCGGTTGGCCCACACTGCACATCACCCCGAAGAAACCAGAAGCCGCGTGCAGCATGGCATTGGACAAGCATCCCAGACATCCTCACGCTCGAATTTATGTCGAGGTCCGCGTTTCAGCATGGGCTGTCTCAAAGGAGAAGAGGGTGAAACGAATATCGCTCTCTGCCCACTGACTAACCTAAACGCCATGTCCTCAGACACATACACACATCCGAAGCACGCTCAGCAACCATGACCACAGGCACTCGTTCTCGAAACACTCAAGTCTAAACCCCAGCTCCCCCAATTCAAACTGTCTAACCTGCAATCCACCGTGACGTCGGGAAACCTAAAGACGAGCTCGTTTCGCAACAAGGGGCACGCGGCGTGTTGCGGACCTGCCAGACCGCAATAAAACTCTGGCGAGGAAATGATATGTTTCTCTCCCGTGCTTGGAGTTACCCAACAACTACACGGGCCAGTAAAGACACCTCGTTTCGGGCATCATTCTCAACTGATCGTCGGCTCAGCATCAAGTTCTGAAACAAACCCAAGATCAACTCTGGTGCCTGCTCGTCAGTCATCGGCGGCAGCTCCTGTATCATCCAGCTTTAACTTGCGATTGACAACGAAACAAAAGGCAACCTCTTCAAGGTCGCAGGGAAGCTTTTAGATCTTCGGACGTCGGATTAAGTCTAGTGTAATCCCTAAACCCTAAACCCTAAACCCTAAATGTAACCACACAACACAAGAACCTAGGTCCTTGTAGGAGATGCCGAGGGTGTAGTAGTTGTCCTTGGCACACTGCATGGTCACCTGTCAGTGACACCAGGAGCACTTAAAGCATCATGGGACTTAGTAACTAGGGTTATATTTAGGGTAACTACCTTAACCCACCAAACCCTGCTTTTTTGTAGGGTCCCTATAAAATCCATGTTAGGGTTTACAATAAGAACCTACAAAAAAGTAGGTTTTGGTTGGTTAAGGTATACTTATGACCCCAATTTACTTATAACTTCACTTACTAAGTCCCATGATCCTCAAAGCACTCCACGGCTCTCCCTAATCGAGGCGAGGTGGCGATCTCCGAACTACTGAGGCGCCCGGGGGATGGGAAGGGATGTAATATGTAGGGGCCTTCATAATCTCGCTTTGGGGCCTAAAATACTACAGTTATGATGCCTGTCACTGCTCTCCTAGTTTGCTACAGGCACGAGCCACAGCACAGATCGGGACAAGGGTTTAGTGAAAGCAGATGGTGAGTTTGAGCTATCGGCGACGGGACCGGGTGAACTCACTGTCGTTGTTCTTGCGTCATCTACGCCACTTAGGTCAGCACTTTAAGCCGAAAAAAGAACACATCTGACCAGCACTTACAAGCACAGGAGGACAAGTAATTGCATACCCAGGGCTGAACCCTAGGCCCTAGACCTCAAACGCTCAGACGCTGTAAGCAACGTATTGGAAAAACAAGTCGTTTAGTGAGGCTCGTAACAAGGCCCCACACCCAAATCTAGTGCGGCTCTGCATCCAAACTTCCAATCCTGAATCTTACACCCTACTAAGCCATATGCTGTCGCAGGCCTGATCGTAGTCCGCCGGCACCGACGCGGGTTGAGCAAGGGACTAGCGGAAAAGCTTGGGAAGCTTGGGATAGGATTTCGGGTTTCGGATTGGGGGTTTGGTGTTTCCGATCCAGAATGTAACGGTTTAGAGCACGGTTGAATTTAGGGCTGATCGTCGGGCGAGGGGCCTCTAGGGCTGGGTCTGCGGGCTATCGCACCTGGTTCTTATAGACCGAACCCCCACCCCTATACCCTAGACCCTCAAGCTCTTTCCGGTTGTCCTGTTTAAACCCTAAACCCTACCTATAATTTGTCTCCATTGTAGTTCCTGTTTTTGGTTGACCAATTTTGTGGTTAGGATCCTATAATATGGTTTTTTTGCTAACCAAAAAATGGAACTACAATGGAGACTATGGGTAAACCCTAAACGCTTTGGTCTTCGATCTTCGGCTTCAAGACGTAGATTGGGGCCTCGCGGGTGCGCGAGTGCCGCCCCCTTTTTGGGCGTCAACTTCTTGAGTTTGAGCTCCGGGTCCCCGAGCACTTGCTTGTCAAATGTCCGGGGTTTCGGAAATATCGGGACATGTCCGATAGTAGGGGCTCTACTTTGTAGCTATCACATCAGTCTTACTCTTCCATTCTAACAGAGCGTCTAGTACGTCTAGACTGGATGCAGAGTGCGCAAGCCCGGATTGAGAGTTCACAAGCCCGAAACAGCCAGCTGCAACTCGAAAACAAAAGTTGACATTCACCAGACTAGCCTGCGACAAGAACTGCCGCTTGAAGGCGTACGAAGTGGAACGTGGTTGAATGCACGGTAATGTTAGATCGGAATATCCTATAATAGTCCTTATATAGTTGTACATCCACACCCCTCTCAAACCCCTATTGAACATTCGGCCCCCCATATTCGGTCTACATTCTTAGTGCCTGCCGGATGGCCTGCCCTAAACACTAAACCCTACGTAGATTGAAGCCGGACGATCCAGAACGAACGGTGACAGTCCTTCCAAGCAGGAAATCTATATCATTCATAATGGTCAGGGTTCCGTTTTTCTCGTTCGGGGGTTAGGGGCTTGGGGCTTAAGAGTTTACGGCTTTGAAATGTGGGGGCTTCAGAAGACGAGGAGTACCTCATTCAAGAAACATTCGACAAACCCTCGATCTTACTTGATTACCAAGGCTCCATAACTTTGCAAGGCCCCATTAAAAGACCCTTGCTAACCTCTGTTTAGGCCCTCTAGAAACGCTGCAACGGCGTCTACCTGCAGCTTTCGGGTGCTTTGCCTTGATCTTCTCGTAGCTGCCCTTGATGAAGACCTGCCCGTCTCCCATTTCATTTTCGCTCGGTTCTCTGGGCTTCTAGAAAGGCTCAAAACGGGTTCTTTCAGGGCTTGAGAAGTCTTGAAACGGGTGTCTTAAGGTTCTATCGGGCCTCGCGGCTCACTAGGGTTTGGGCGTATGGGGCGGTCAGGATGTTGGGCTTCGTGGTACGGGCTTCACGCTACGGACCTCGCGTTTGGGATTCCGTGGGCTTTAAGATCTCTGGGTCAAGGGGGCCAGGGGTTTTTAGGGTGCTGGGCTTAGGACCCCAGTCATGGGGAGATCCCTTATTCGGGATCCGTGCTGGAGGTCCGTTACCCTCAAGGTCCATCATGCACCTACACAGTACACGATGGCCTAAAGCGGCTTAAAGTCAGAGTATGTAGGAAAAGAGAGATAGATGCATTAGTTCTGAGAACGTCTGCTTCCACATTCCAGGATTTCCTTACGGTGACTTCCGAGGATGGGCACTGCGTTTCTTTGCAGCTGCACCCCCCTGCTCTACTATAGGTCCGTGCTGCGTTTTTATGGTTCAGGGTTCGGTATGTTTAGGTCTTGGGTTCGGTCTTCTACTTGGTCCTGGTACTTTCTGCCTACCTTTTCAGTGTCCTAGAGGACGTAAGTGTTCGCCTTTGGGACAACGGCAGGGTGTACAGTACCCTAGCAGGGTATTATAGGTCACTGACTCTACTACAGCGAGTCAGAACACACCTCACCTGGTTACAAGCCCTTTACAAGCAAATCCCGTGTCTACAAACGTAGAAACCCGAATCACATCGACACTGCAGCCTCGGACTTTTGCCAGAATCCCAGCTGCCAAACACGAATCACACCGACGCTGCAACCTTGAACTTGTGCTAGAAGCCCAGCTACCCATACAGTAGGCTTTTCTGTCCTGATATGCTCTAGTCTCTAGTCTCCTAGCTCACTCTCTAACTCGGCTTTCCCAAAGGGTCCAAAGTACTGATATAGTAGAATGTAGGGTTTCTATATTGGGAATTGCTATTATGATTTGGGGAGGTATTCCCCATAACCCCTAAACCCTAAACCCTAGGACCCTTTGGGCTTTCAGTTGTTCAACCGGCCTGCAGTTTCCCGGAAGCATCTCTTGCCACAGCACCGCTAGTCATGCCTTTAGCGAGAAGGAGTCTCGACAGTCAAGGACTACACGGCATAATGTAGGGGTCTTAATAGTTAGAATAGGGTTTTGGGGGTATGTTATACTGTACTTGTTGTAATGAACCTCCGAAGTTGTAGTATACTTATTGTAAGGAACCTCCAAAAATAGTGTAGCCAATTATTTAAGCACCTTTATTCAGGTTTGTGGGACTTCTTATCTTGGGACTATAAGCGGATATCATACACTGCGAAGAGAGTCAGACGCCCCTATAAACCCCCCGAGACTGGAAACTCGCGATTGTTGATGCAACAGGTCGGTAGGGTTTAGGGTCTTAGGTCTTAGGAACTAAATAATCTCAATATAGGGGGCTCAGTTCAATGTGGAGCGAATTCAGGGTTAGTGTGTATGTTGACAAAACATAGGAGTGCCATCAGAATGAACCAGCATAGAACAAGGCTCCTTCTCCGGATCGCAGCAACTCATGCTGCTATCAAGTTTCGGAAAATGTGGTTTTATTGCTGCCTGTTAGACTTGACCCACATGTCCAAACCCCCCAAACATCAACTAAAGCAGCCGCCAAACTCCATTACTGAGCCCTTCAACAAACACTCTCTGAAACCTTGACCATTTTGGCACCTGTATGGAAACCATGAACCCAACGATCCCAAGACCATAAACCCCAAACTTCCAGTAGCCCGGGACTTCCAAAAGTTCCCCCCCTGAACCCCTAGAGCCCCGAACGCCTACACATCAACGGTTTAGGTTTTCGGGTCCCCTAAACCGTAAACCCTAAACTCCCAAACCCTGATTGGGTTTAGACCTGGAACCCAAAGCCCTCCTCGGATACAAAGCAGCGAGGGGGCTGTGGTGGTCGAACTCGAGCTCACGAACCACCTTCAAGACCTCGCCCTGCGGAGAAACCATCTCCTGGTCAACAGGTTGAAAAAAGGTTTCAAATGGGCTGCAAGGGTTTCAATATGAGAGCTTCCGAAAATTAGGGGTACCTCATTTGCGGTCTATAAGGATCCTACTATTTAGGTTACTATATTTGCCCTATTTTCGGAAACTCCCATATAGTGCCCCTAGGGTAAGATTGTATAGGGCTTCAGAGGGGTGCAAGGGCTGGAGTTTTGGACTCTAGGGAGTCTTATCGGTTGGCAATGGGTCTGTGGTGTAATTATATTATACTAGGGTTATGACATGATAGGCAGGGGGCAGGGCGTTGGTCCGGAGCGTTTGGTATTCTGCTTAATTCTGCCTTGAACTCTAAACCAGGAAGAAGGATTGAGGGTAACGAGTCAGAAAGCCTCTTGACAACCCTAGCAAAAACCCTGAACCCTAAACCCTACCAGAAACTTGGAGCTTCGGGTGAAACCCAATTGCGACATGACCGAACCGAGGCTTACCACCCAAAGCCCGCATCCGAACGTCTTGACCTTCTTGACCGGTGAAACAGCTTGTTATTCCTTATGTAGCTTTCGCAGGATACGGTTTAAATTTAGGGTTTCGGTTTAAGGATACGTTAGAGTGCCGGGTGCAATTACGCAAAGGCCCCCCGCCCCTTGTAGTGTACATTGATTCCTACAGGTAACACGGCGAACCCCAAACCCTGAAAGCCCAAACACTAGACCGAAAGCCTAAACCCTAAAGCGTAAGCCCCCTTAAACCCCTAAACCTTAAAACCCCTTAACCCCGAATTTTAAACCTTAAACCCCCTAAGCCCCAAAACTAAACCCCCGTAAACCCCAAACCTTCAACCATCAACCCCCTTAAACCCCAAACGTTAAACCTTAAACATCCTTAAACCCCCTAAACAACAAACCATAAACCCTTTGAACCCCAAACTATTATGGTCCTTCACGCCCAGCTTCCAGCCCACCGTGCGAACCATGGCACATTCGACCTCCAGGCAAAGCAGTCCCCCAAAAAAAATGAACCCGGGGATCCAACAAACCCACAGTTGTAGGGGTACATGAGGGTTTAGGGTTTAGGGTTTAGGGGTAATACCCGAGAATTTGGGGGTCATGACCTACTATGTTGTTAGGTTTGGGGATACAGGCAAACCCATCGTTGAACCATACTCTGGGTCTAGCGCCTATTTCGGAGTTCCAGGAACTCGAACCGACAAGCCCGATGGTGGGTTTAGGGTCTCGGTTTACAAGGGCTTGGCCGTGTGTTGGGCAGAGCTCGGGGCTTCCGGTTCCATGTGTCTTCTACCCATGGCTCCATAGTAGTTCCTTTTGGGGTTTACCTTATAGGATTCTAAATATGAACCCCAAAAAAGAACTACTATGGAGCCTCCAGGTAGGGACCAAAACCTCCATCAAAGAGCCGCGACTACAACGCCAAAGCTCTAGACAACCTGACCCTTAGCTCTGAATCTCTGTGACCCCTTTTCTCCGCACACTAAGCCCAAACTCGAACCCTTGCGTGCTACTTTGGGTTTAGAGGGAACCTGAAGTTTTGACTGTAGGGTTTCCAAGATCCGGTATCCAACGAACCCTCCAACAAGCGCCTGATTTCCGACCAGAGCCCCGGTAGAGCCCAGCTTCTTCACGGTGTGGCAGACAGCCAAGGCCTCGAAAGGAGAGGGAAACTCACAAAGGGGGGGCCTTCATACAACGTTAGCACATTCGCCCAAACACCCTATTCACTATTCTAGCTATGCCATAGCTAGAATAGTGACAAGGGTGCTAGACGCCATAACGCTGGAAGTCTGCGTCCAAATCAACAAGGCAAGGATCCTTCGTCCAATTCTGAGCTTGCGAATGTAGACCTTGTCCCTGAATAAAGATGCAATAGGGATCCTATATGATTTGAGGATCTTTCGAGGGATTTGTCCTTCGAGGGTCTACATAACCCCCGACAGCCCGCATTCGACAGCAAGTGCCAGCAAGTTGTAATATAGGGGCCTTAATGATTAGGATTTTTCTTGGGGGGGTATATTCTACTAATATCATCATAATAAGGAACCCCCACAATAGTATTGGTAGTTAGATAGGCCCCTATAGTAAATCCCATGACTGCTCCGGCTCCACACTAGAAGCTCGAGGACCCGACCCTGCGAAGCACCGGCGGCACTTGCATCCTGCGATCTGTTTGGCCAGGATTCATCCTCTTCATGTGATCAATTTTTGACCGTTTGCGACGAGCACCAGAACCACAGGGTTCAGATCCACGAGGTTTGTTCGACAGAAGATTAAAGGGAACTCCAGAAAGTTGGAATATGGTTTCAGGGTAGGATACCTTGTAATTTCCCATAAAGCGTTTAGGATAATCATATTCCAACTTTCTGGCCTTTACTTTAACACTATGCTATCTATCACATGTGTTATATTTGTGTGATTGCCAGTCGTACTGCTCATTTCTGTTAGCCGTATAAAGAATAATCAGGACAAGAGCACCATTATCAGGATTATCAACATCCGACTACTCCTAGTCCTACTGCTACTGCTACAGCTACTTATTCTTCTCATTTTTTTGCAGACTAGTATTGTTCTCTTGCGTGTTCTTGGTTTCTTGCCTCCTTAGACTTTCTTTTCCAGGTTTCTCTTTTCTTTTTCGGAAGGAGTCTGTGCCAGAGCATTTACACATGACATTTTAGGCTTTAGGGACTACGGGTTTGAAGGGCTGTAGAGCTTGTTGGGATTCGTGTTTAGGGCAGTTTAAGGATAAGCCTACGGGTTAATAGTATTTGAGGCTTAGGTCGATATTTTTCGGGCTTCAGGTTTTGGAGCTGGGCTGTATCCGGTCTTTAGGTTGATTGTCTCAGAGGATGGGTTGGGATTTCGGGCCATGGGTTAGTATTCAAGGTTGAGATTTACTGCGTAGCAATGTGGTTGAGATTTGGGATTGAAAATTGAGGGCTGGGAGTAGGAAGTGTTGGGATCAAGGGTTTGGGCTTCCATTCAGGGTTGAGCAAGGTCTCCTAGGCCCCATGAGGCTGCCAATACGCAGGTCTGAAAGATGAGTATTCAAGTCCCTTGTCACCCCTACACCCTAAACCCGAAACCGGCCCCGAGACACTCAAACCAGTGAGTAGCCATGACCCAGTACCCCACCATGGTATGGACCCTGGCGACTGGAACGAGGGTTACAATAGGGATCCCAGTACTAAGACCCTCCAAGAAAAGGAGGTTTACTAATCATGAAGAAGCCTACATAACAGGGTTCAAGAGATCCCAAACCATACCGTCTTCTGGGTTTAGGGAGCCCCTCTAGGCCAAAACCTGTTCTCTCCCGGGCGCTAGGGACCCGGCTGGTCGTCTACTTTGGCACGGTTCTGGATGCACTCCTCAGAGGATCTGTCCGGGACAGGATATACACAGCCATCATAATTCGGTATGGGTCTAGGGCTTTTGTTGAGAGCTCTTCTGCTTGTGTTGAGGGCGTAGGGATGCTTCGGGTATAGGGTTTCAGGGTTCACCCCATTTGAACCCATGCAGCCCCGCAGAGAAACCCTCAATGCTTAAAAAACCCTACGATAAGAATCGTGTAAGGCCTGCGGGGTCTTCGGCAGAGAGTCCTGTGCTGCGTAGTCTTCTGTCGGTCGGTGGGCTTGGGGCCCCCCTGGGGTCCATGTACCCAAATAGCAATTATGTATATAGTTACCTATCTAAAACGACTCGAAGACCAAAGTATATACTAAATAGGTACATGATACATGGCCCTATACGGGTTTAACTTACAGTAAGTTGAGTTGTTGACGCAGGCGTCGGCTCAGGAGTGATAGGAGCCTGGGGACGAAGCGCAGGGCTTAACACAGGGAATAAATGAATACATGAGGGCTGGTTTAAGAATCCATCCCTCCGGTTCCTTCTCAGGACCAGCCAGGGAGCTTAGGGAATGCGCAGTTCGAGCTTCGGTCAGGTTGCCTGCACCGTGTCGAGCCCCATACAGTAGCCGGAAATTGAGCGTTTCGGAGATGTTGGGGGTGCATGCAGCGACGTTGACATAACAGCTTAACTTAACATTTCTGTGTGGGGTAGCAGTATGTTGCAATACAGCATAACTATATATATATATATATATATATGGGAATCGAAATTTCACACAATCCCCATTATTCAGAACCCTATATTGCGATTTACTAGCAAGGCCTTGGTGCTCTGTAGCTAGTTTGAGCTAACCCTTTCACCCTCAACCCATTCCGGGGGTCGCACCGGGTCGCTGTCATCGAAGTCCACGCGAGTGTTAAAACGCCCGGACGCAGCACCCACAACTCCAGCGAAGTCCATTCCTAAAGAGGGCTTGGGGGTTTAGGGTTGCTAATATCAACATATATGTAAATCAATGAAGATCCAAGTACATAGCTAGATACATGGATATATAGATAGGCACATAGACAGATTGTTCGTTGGATTAGGTTAGATTGGATCAGGTTACGCTAGATTCGATAGAGAGATATATCGACAGCTGGCCAGGGAGCTAGGTAGATGGAAACACAAGCAGATAGCTAGAAGGATCGATACATGTATATATGTTTATTTTTGTATACAGTATCTATATACAGGTACAAGGAAATACAGGGTGTATATTATAGACCTTTAAATATCTCTTTAATCAATATCTCTATAAACTGTGTATGTAGAGAGAAAGAGAGAGACAATTAGACAGCCATACGGACAGACAGGCAAACAGACAGAGACAGACAGACATAATTGGTTAATAACAGGATAGCTAGATCGACTGGAAGATGGATGGAAAGGACCGATAGCACGTGTCCATTGTACTCGCACGCAGGACATAGAAGAGCACACGTTGCATGACAAAGCATGAGGCGTTCTCCTGCTTTGGTGATCGTTCCGGTCTTGTCGAACACCATGGTCGAGATCTTCCCGGCAATCGGGATCCTGCCGGAGAGCAGGTTTAGGGCATGGGGTGTAAGTAGGGCTTAAGATGCTTGTGGTTTATGGCGTTAGTGAAGACTACCTGAACCCCGAACTCTCTGGCCATAACCCCGAAGCTCTAAACCCTAAACCTTAAACTCTAAGCCGGAAGCCCTAAACTCTCTGGCCATAGAAACCAAAAGCTCTAACCCCCAAGCTTTAAACTAAGCCTGAAGCTGTAAACTCCACCAAAGTCTCTGGCCTTCCAGGTTGAAGGCACTTGATCTGATACTCGCCCTTCTTGTCATCGAGGCGCCTGAGCTCTCGGGATCGAAGGGCTAGGAGCTTCTGCAAAGATGCTTAGGGCTTAGTTGAGCATTTAAGGACATCAGCTCAGGCTTCAATGATCCGGTATCGGCTCCTTCCACAAATCTCACAGGACTTTAGGCTTGGAGCTGCAGGCAGACGCATGTCTGAACGAACCATGCGCCTGAACAGTATCTAACTGTTTACGCTGACCTTAATTGAGCACCGAAGTTATGTGTTTACTTATGTGTGCGTGTACAAGAACATGTGTGTATCTATATGCATACTTTTCATTGTGTATGTCATTGCTAGATTAACAGTCATCAAATCAGCGATGCACAACTGACAATTCAGGGCAGACAGGCTCGGCATTAGAAGCTTTGAGGATATTCAGATATCTGTGCGAAATCTATATTAAGGTTTGTACATTTCCAAAGGCCTGCATAATTGCATAATACGACCAGGATTTGCATTGTCTTAGAATATATCATTTTGTACAGGGCACGCAAGGGGAACAATACGACCAGGATTTGAATCATCTTTCTAATATGATTGTATACAGGGCCTGCAAGGGGATGCTACTACTAACTACTCAAGCATCTTTGGCGGGAACGGACTGGCGACCAAAGCCTAAACCCCAACCTACACCCACGACAGTCTCGCATCAGGAAACCAGCCCTAACACTGCAGGATTCGTAGGGTCCAGGCAACCCAAAGCCTAAATGTATATCACCACTGGGAGGACTAGCAAGTGGGGTTACAAGTAACTATAAGTATAGTTCCCTAAATTATAACCCCTAGTGGCCCTAGTTACTAAGTCCCATGATCCTTTAAGCAACCCCTAAACCCTAAACCCTATAGATCCCTTTAAGGAACCCCTATAGATCCCTTTAAGGAGCCCTTTAAGGAACCCTAGTTACTAAGTCCCATAATGATCCTTTAAGCAAGGACTGCGCTGACTCCCTGAAGCTCAAAGGCCGGGAGCCAGCGGGTGACTTCGAGACTCGAGACGCTAAGACCAAAGACCTGACTACTGCGCTTTAAAGGGCTATATAATGGGCTATATAATAGCTATATTAAGGGTATATACCTAGGGGTCCTTATTAAGGGTCCCTCCTTTTGATCTTTCAAGGTTTTTCTTTTGGGGTGGTCTAGGGTTTAGGGGTTTTGTTTACGGGTTTAGGGTATAGGGTTTATGCCGCCTACAGCAAAGGAGTCTGCGGTTTGCATGTAGTTAATCAGTGTAAAGGAGCCTCGAAGACTAGCGACCAAGAACTTGTTGAGGCCCTTTATATTATGGTACCATATATATAGTAGCCCTTGCCCCTATCCTTCTAGAAGCCCTTATAAAGACCCCTCTAAAGAATATCCCGTATGTATTATCTAGAACCTTATTGAAACCCTATATATATAGGCCCCTTTTAAAGGGATATAATCTGAATATCCCAAGCGGCCCGGCAGACACGGTCTGCCCCATGACCATGGACACCGGCATCATCGGATTCCTTGAGACATTGGTCAGGTGGAGACTTCAGGTCTCGGGGTTCAGGCCCAGGGTTCAGGGTTCCTTTACTATTTGCTTAAGAACCCCCAAAAAATAAAAAATATATTCCTTATGGGGGTAATGTAGGGATTATTCTTTTTAATTTTTGGTGGTTTCTTAAGCAAATAGTAGTTTAAGGGACCTATAGGGTCCTATGAGGGCTTAGGATTTTAGGGTTTCGGGTTTTAGGGTTCAGGCATTTCCGCAACCCCAAAGAACCTTTACGGACTTATATACAGAACTCACAATAAGGAACACCGAAAAGGTAGGTTTCTTAGGGTCCAGGTAGGGTTCAGGCCCGGGGTACAAACCCTAGCTTCAGGTAGCCGCCTAGACCTGGAGGCGATTGCACCTCGAAGTTCACTGCAGTTTCGAATAATCCGAAACAGACCCCTTAGCAAACAGAGCCTCTATAACATTGGGAGCCATGACGCAGGGACAACACTAATTGGAATAGGGTTTTGGGGATTCCAGTATGACAAGACCACAAACTATTCTACATACCAAGGCCCCTGGAGTACCCTCGCAAGGTCGAGGGGCGGCCCGAACGCATTGTAAGATGATTCCCGAGCACCCCGACAGTAAATCTAAAACCATGACCCCCGCAATGGCACGGCGCAAACCCTCAGCACGAAATCTTGAAGACCCTACTGTACTTCTGGAAACCCAAGACGCAAAACCTGAACCCTAAAGCCTTAAAATCCCCAAGCTCAAAGCCCAAAGCCTTGTTCGCCTAAAAGGTGCCACCGAGTCTCAGAGCCATAGCCACGGTGCAAAGAACCTCGGGTTGCTCTGAAAGCTTGGCACAAGGGTCCACAGGACCCAGCAATTGGGTGATATAGGGGCCTTAATCATTAGGAGAGGGTTGATGGACAGAATATCATATTATTGTATAGATGTAGACGAAGAGCCCTTTAGGAATAGTACTGGTAATTACTACAACAGCAGCCGTCAGCCCTTCACGCTCCAGTTGTAGGCCATAGTGATACAGGGCCATGGACACGAGACGTGGCTTCCAATCAGTCAAACAGCTGTAGGGTTTAGGGCTGAGCTGATCATAGGGTGTATGGGTCTTGCGGGGTTTATCGTGCAGGGTTTGCGTGAAAGATTGGACCAGCTTTCGCGAACAGGGCAGAGCGCAGCCCAAGACTAAAGAAGTGACCCCGATGTGTCGAAAGCATGACATAGCAAGACCATGTTCAGTTTTGACATTTTGGTGCACCCCATGGCCTGGAGGGTAGAGCTATCGTCTACCGCAAAACCCGGAACGTAAGCATCCAGGCCCCGACTGTATAGAGAAGGTGCCAGCCCTGCACGCTTGCCAAATTCAACTGCAAAACCGCCGTATCCGAAACCCCAAACCCTGCAGATCCCACAAGCCAAAACCCAGGGCTTCTGCGTCAAGTCCTTACACAAGGCCCCAAAAATTGCATCCTGATGGGTTGAACTGGGGGTTTAGGGAGTGGGATGCTGGACTTTAGGTCGGGGATTTGCGGATCGCCCGAAACCCTAAACCCTAAACCGGGATCGGGGGTTGGGATCTGAGGGTTTGGTGTTTTCAGGTCTGGGATGTAGGGCTCTGGATGCTTGAGGCCTAACATCTACACGCCGGAAGGGCCACTTCTTATGGTTGACGGTGATTTCCTGTAGATCATAAGGGCTGACAAAGGGTGCTCCTACCACAAAAGTCGTTAGATCTCTGTATGGGTTACTGTCAGAACCATGGTCCCTTTCGGGGAACCCCATAGAAGCCCATTTTTCATACGGCACCCTAAAACTCGGAAAGGTATACACTGGTGCTGACAACCACGCAATTTAACCCTGTCTTGTTTGCGAAACAGAGGCCGTTAGGTATGTCGCCACAGCCGAGCCGATATCGGCGAGAAAGACCAAAAGGAGCACGATGATCGCAACCTCGGGTGCTTCGTTTACAGACGGTTGATGGTTGGGCGGGAATCCGGCGGCACCCACACACTCGATCGGACGTAGATCGCGACTCCTGAAGAGAAGCCCAGATGCGTATATGCTCATGATGCCATAGACCATGGGAAGCTGGTCGTTGTACCTGCTTGCGGCTCTGTCCGAACCCTGAAAGCTGAACAATTACCAGCACTAAACTCCTTCGTGGCTGGCAGTCACCAAAGCTAAGCTGAGCACCGCAACTCCAAGCTTTGACTAATAACTGGAGGCTTCCATGGCTCGAGGATTCGGCGTTTTCATGATCTTTAGGGATCGGGGTTTAGGGGGTTAGCATGTAGGGCTCACCCACAACATCCTAAACAAGCTACGTGTAGCAACTTGGGCTACGATCTCAGGGTATACCATACATTGTCGGGGATACAATCCTGCAGAAAGGTACTTGGGAAGCTGGTCCGTGTTGTGAGGCGACAGCAGAACTCGCGTTCACTCCCTGATGTGAATGAGTGGATTGATATGCGGTCACTTCTACATGTGAGAGCCAGGCCAGTCGGCTCACACTAAGCCCTATAGGACCCTCAGCCCATATGCAAACTTCAACTCCCTCTGAGTTGTTCTGTGTACCCCAGTTGCATTGCTGAACACGCCTATGCGGAGGCAAAGCAGACCAGGCACATAGATCAATCACCAAATGCCAGCAAATTTCCCGAAACTCTAAACGCCTACTTCACGAACCTGCCGCCATTTTCCAAAACCCTCAACTAAACCCTTATCCCTGAAGCCGAAATGCTAAGCCGGCCAGATCACCAGCCGGTGCTGCAGTTTCTGATTTTAACTCTGCCAGGGTCAACTAGTATAATAGAGATCTATAGTAAATAATATGGCTTCCTGATTATGGTAGCTTAAACAAACTTCTTTAACAACAGCCCTGTATTTCAGAGCCGTGACACTTGAACTTCACGGAGGCAGGGAATAGCACCATCCGGACCAACTGACCTGTACAAAACCCAATGGGGGTTTGGGGTTTAGGCTAGTCAGGTTGCTTTACCTGGTGTTATAAGGCTTCTAAAGGGGCTTATATAGGGATCTTTATACTGGTCCGTGTCAAAGGATACCAGCAACGTTTCCTTCAAGGATCTTCAAGGTTTAGTTTGGGTTCAGGCTTTCGGGTTCAAGGTTAATGTGGTGGCGCATGATCTTGGAGTTTAGAGTTTGGGGTTCCAGGTCATAGTTTGCCAGCGATTCAAGGTTCTCAGGCTTGCGGGTTGGGTTTAAGGTTCGGGTATTGGGTTACCACGGTATTAGCGCTTAGGGGGAAGTATTTTGGGGCTTAGAGTTTGTGTTGATGTTGAACTTAATTTCCATGGTCTGACAAGCCAAAACCCCTCAACTCTCTTGGGTTGTCGGTTTCAGGGTCTCAGAGGTTGGTGGCGTGGGGTTCTGGGTTCAGGCTTTCGGGTTTGGAGTGTCGGTGTTTTGAGTTTAACCCTAAACCCTACACCCTAAACCCTAAACCCTAAACCCTAGGGCTTATAGGCTTTTGGGCCTCTGGAGCTTTGGGCCTCTGGAGCTTGCCTTAGGAGACGTACCAAGACCTACTAAACCCATTTTTTTGTAGGTTCTTATCAGTAGAAGCCCTAATATGGGATTTATGGGACCCTACAAAAAAGTAGGCTCTGGTAGGTTGAGGTAGGGTTTAAGAGTCTGAATGTGTTCTTCCGCTTCAGTAGGATTTGGTTTGGGCTGCATGGTCCAACGTGAAACCCAACATTGCGACAAAATCTATGGCTGCGCTTCGAAGGCAATCGCAAAGCCCTCGGTTCTCGAGGTCCGTCGTCTCCTTAGCTCTTCAGTTGTTGAATTGGTATCATGATGTCCCCTAATTCTCTTCTAACTTGGTCTATACTGCGAAAAAATCCCATTTTCCCGAAGTCCCAAGCCCTCAAAAGGAAGCGAGACAGGTACAAGCAGAACAGGCCTCGCGTCGTCAGAGCACCGACGTTTGTGCAGTATAGCCTGGTCTCTAGAGAGCTTCTTTGTGGCTTTGAAAGGGTGTCCATGGGGTCTTCATGGGTCTTGTGTGCATGTCAATTTAGGCTTCAGGTTTTAACTCGGGTTTCGGGCTCAGGATTCATAGGCTTTTGGACAGATGGTCTTCAACTCCCATAGCTCTGCTTTCAGGGTTTGGGTCTCCGGGTTGTAGATGGCTTCGGACGGTCAAGGCTTTATTGGAGCTTAGGCCAAGGCCAGCCCACGAAATCCCAGCGAAGCTGAAATCTTAAACAACTGTGCTTTTCTGGAAAAAAAATCTAGTTTTTCTGGAACAGAGGCCTAGTAGAATTTTCAGAAGCTGCAGACCAAATGCCTAGACTCAGAAACCTGGGACCGAAACCCGGGCAACTCCGGCACACCAAAAGGGGTTCAGAATTTAGCGTTCAGGGCTCATATATGGTTTAGGGTGCAAGGCTTAGGGTTTAGGGTTTAGGAGGTAGCGGGAAACTGCATAGTTGAACAGTTTGAGCAAGCCTCCCATTTGCATCCCTGCGTCCAAGTAGCATAGCCTTCCCGTCCGCAGGTCCCGTCGATTCTAAAGCGAGGGTGCCGGCGTACGCCTTGATGGTGCCAGTGGCATTGATGCTTAGCTTGCAGGGTTTGGGGACTGATCGGCCGGGTTCTCGTAGTTCTCCGAAACCCCAAACTCTTCTTTGAAGAACTCGAACACGAAACATCCACGCAACACCCAGGATTCTCCCAGGACAGCAAAAAAAGAGAGACAGAACTCAACATCGTGAATATGTGTATACATGGATACATAGATACATATAGAGCAGTATACATATATATATATATATATATATGTATGATGTATAGAGAGAGAGAGTGTGTGTGTGTGGCAGGCCCAAAAGCAAACCGGAAGTACTGACGTCGAAACCCTAACACATCATGTCCACAACTCGCTTTTGTCAACCCTTCAAGGAGGAATCCCTATGTGTCCCTTAAGGGGAACCCTTAAAGGAAATCCTAGATATCTTTTTGCGAACCCTTGGAGGAATTCCTATAGATCCTTGAAAAAAGGAGCCCTGACAGGGTTCTACAGGTGAATCGATCGGGGTTCCTTTCACATAAACGGGTTCCTCTAGAAGAATTCCTATAGATCCCTTACAGGAACCCTTAAACTTTAAGGGTTCCTTTAAGGGACCTACAGAATTTCGAGTAACGAACCACTCTTGGCCCGGCCTTGTTGAGCTTGTCCGTAATCTTGTAGTGGCCGTTGTCCTATCGGGTTTCGGGGCGGGCGTGGGGTTTTTGGGCGTCGAACATGCGTTGCCTAATTACACCAGATTTAATAAATTACGGAACCCCAAGGAATAGCATAACTAAGCTGCTACTAGGTACTAGGCTTCGAATTTCGAGTTCGAGTTTCAGGGTTTCGGATCTATCATTCGAAGTTTCCGGTTTTGGGCCCAGGAGCTATGAAGCTGCATTGAAGCTGAACAAACCTTCTTTCGAAACACCAGAGGCCGGATCCAACCGGTAGTTTTTCCAAGCACCGTGAAACCGACAAACTCTAGTTTAGGGCTTACGGTAGGGTTTAGGGGTTTAGGGTTTAGGATTGAGCTTTGCCCCCATGCTCCCAAATCTCTCAGCAGGCATCCTCCACGGGAGATTTGGCAATAGGCATTGGCTCACCTGCCGCTTGAGAGGCTGAATCAGACCCCCTTCGCGGTAGGTCCCATGATCCTCTAAGTATACTTTCCTTAACCTTAAGTGTCCACATGGTAGCAAAGGGCATTTAAGAATGAGAATGGGCTGAATAGGGTCCTTGGGTATATGATACGAAGATACTACAGCCCCAATACGGACCATAAAGGTGAGGTACGGCTACTTATTCTCAAGCATCAAGGGGAAGACATCTCAACAACACTGCTTGCGGCGGTGATTGGGTCGTGTGAACCCTTCAAACCTAATCTGGAATCTGGTGCAACGAGCCGACCCAAGATGGGCAGTCGTAGTTTCAGGTCGACACATCTACCGGCTTCCTGGTGGAGTGGGTGGAGGTTGAGGTTGAAGTTATTTCGGGTTTACAACAACCGAAACAGTTGGCTTCTTAGTAGAGGGTCTGGTGCAAAGGGAGGGCGGGATCTCGTCTTCAATCACTCTCCCAAATCATGAACACTTATCTAGTCATCCTGCTGATGGACCAAATCCTGCATTACCCATTATAAGGCGTATACCATAGTCCCCATAGTTTAGAATCCTTAGGGTCACGCAGGATTTTGTCCATCATCAACAGTCTGTCCATAAGTAGAGCTTCACTGCAGACGCCTAGAATCCCAAACCCTAAACCATAAACCCTAAACCATAAACCCTAAACCCTAAACCCTAAACCCTAAACCCTAAACCATAAACTACATTTGGGAACCAACCAATGCTTCGAGCCCGACGATCTGAACTTTCCCACGGGGTTGTGAAGGATTTGTGTGAGTGTATGGCATGGATTTAGGCTTTAGCGTCTTTGTGTCTGTGTTGAGTTTAGGACTTGGGCTTCGAGTGATCTAGATCATAGATCATATCAGATCTATATAAGCCCCAGAACCAGAGTTGTATAAGCCGCAAAGCCCTCCACGCCTCAGGCTAGAAACCTAAGCTCCTCGCACCGCGGACTCTGACGTTCAAGGCTCCCAACCTCTATCCCAAAACCATGAAACACATAGGCCCTGCCTATACTTTGGGGTTTAGGGCTTTAGGGGTTTAGGGGTCTGGGGGTTTGGGGGCTTAGGGGTTTGGGGTGTAGGGTTTGGGGCTTCAGGGGCTCAGGGGCTTTGACTCCAGAATCCTACACCCAAATCTCTGAACGCATAAACCCCTGAAGGGAACTCCAGAAAGTTGGAATATGGTTTCAGGGTAGGATACCCTATAATTTACCATAAAGGGTTTAGGATCATCATATTCCAACTTTCTGGCTTTTACTTTAAGTAACAGAATGCCTGTAAGCATCGACTCGTTCACAATGAGGCTGCCCTGAACGAGGATGCCATCGCAAGGCAGCTTCGCGTCCGTACCTCGGTCGGCAGTTCGAGGTGAGCTTCCAGGGTTCATGTAGTGAGTAGCGCCAGGGTCTGCTTGTAGTTCAGGGTTAGGGCTTGTGGTTTCGGGAAGATTCGGGCCTATTACCCGTGTTTGTTTTGCTTTTCCGGCTTTAGATTCAGGATCTCGGGATGAAGGCAGAGAATGAGGGCTGCTGTTTCTTCTGTAGGGTTGAGGGCTGAGTTGCAATTACGGCTTAAAATCAAGGCTTTGACCGTTAGGGATCATGTCGTTGCGGCTTCCACTGTGATTTTCTGAATGGGGCTGGAAGCATCATCCCTCAACCCTTCAAACCCTTGAAACCAAAACCCTAAACCGTTTCAACCCCAAACCGTGAACCCTTTCAACCCTAAGCCCAAAACCATTTCAACCCTAAGCTCTAAGGCTCAAACCCCATATCCTAATTGACTGAGTTTGTTACTGCTATTTTGCCTCGACCCCGAGGCCGATATCCTTGTCTCCCCCCGAGAACCGTAGGGACCAGGGAATGACGGATGCTTAGGGCTTATCGGGTTTAGGAAGGCGGGTTCGTCGGGCTGAGGGTTTAGGGCCCTCTACGAATGATGGATGTGTAATCGAACCCAGCCTCGAAAGTGTGTGTGTGAGATGGGTTTAGGGTTTAGGGTTTAGGGTTTTGGGAGCTTACGGTCTAGTGCTGGGTCAGCTTTATAACCACTAGAACACCAAACTTAATCTCCTAAACCCTAAACCCTAAACCCCTAAACCCTAAACCCTAAACCTGAACCACAACATGTCGAAGGTGCCATCCTGAATCTTGACGATGTCTCCGAGCACCTCGTTGGAGGGACATAGTAGGGACTTGGTACACAAGCTTAAAAATATTAGCAATCAGGGAGTAGGGTTGGGGATGGGGTATATGGTTGCAGGTATATTTTTCATCTTCAAACCCGAAGATATACTTCGTGCCGCAGGCTGCATGGGATAGCTTCGTCGGGGAAAGCAGCCGACATCAAATCCGAAAAGCGCGATGGGAATCACCGCACGTATCATCTTTGCTGGTCTCAATTTAGCTTCGTGGAGTTGACCCTCAACCAAAGAAGCCTATGCCTCGATAGCTGAAACCCACAAACCCGAAGACCCTCAACTCCATGACTGTAGACGTACATGCGTAAGTAAGAAAGGCTAAAGGCAGCGGAAGACCTGCATGCGGACACAGTAGTCGCGCACAAGGCTTCAGAACGCGGCTTCCGGTTGAGGGCTCTGAAGTCGCGAAGTTTAAAGATGTTTGAGCAATGTGAGCTTTCACATCTTGCGATGCTGGGGTCGGCACGATCTCGGAGACATCGACTTCCTGCCAGGCGTAGACTGTCTGAAGACTCATGAATCCAGAGTCCCAAACCCTAAAATTTTGAAGCCCTAGGCCACGCAGCACGGAAGACTACAACAAACATACAACACGGAATCCCGAAACCCGGAAGCCCTACCTAATTGGTCATAATCTTGAACCACTCATGACTAGGACTCTGTGCGCACTGTAAGTGTCTTGCTTAGACAACCAGGTGCAAAAAAACACGCTGGGGGATACTATACAAAACCCATACGATTTTGCAGATGATGCCAACCACCAATAGTAAACTGGGCTTTCTCGGAAAACACAACTAAAAAATTGGACCTGCTTTGTAGTTAACAGGCCTAAACCCAAACTCAATGCAGTCACTGGGCATATTCCTTAATCAAGGCTTGAAAAGGTTCTGGGCGCGATATGCGGCCTTAAGACCGAGGTTGGGGTATCGGAGTATACCATACCACAAGCACATATTAAGAAACCCAAAATAAACATCCTTCTTGGGGGAGGTGTCGCGGTCTTCTCGTTGTCGGTCCCCTTCGCGACGAAGATGGGGGCCAGGACAACAAAAGCAACAAACGACACTGCCCTTGCTGCGGGGGAAGATCATACCCCCTACGCGCCCATCCTCCTCCAATAAACCTTCACGCAGGCTCGCGCCAAGTTTGAGCTTTCGGGCGCGATTGGTTTGAAGGATCTTCAAGGTGCCTGAACACAGAAAATATCACCCCAAACCCTAAACCCTAAACTCTAAACCCTAAACCCCAGCTCAGAAGCGATCTGTTCCCTGACATTGCCAAGATCGCGAGAGTAGAGCTCGGGACTTGTGGCTCTGGGCTTCCGGATGGACTACCGGGGCTGAGTACCCTGGCCCAAAAAAAGGTAAACCTTTTCAATATATTGTGGTAGGGTTTATAAAAACCCCCAAACGGCTAAAGGCTACCTGCTCAGCTACTAAGACTATGGTTGCGGATTCAGGGCTTAGAGATTTCGGACCAGGGGCTCAGATTGAGGTCTAAGGCTTTCGACTTGGGGGTTTAGGACTTGGGGTTTAGGGTTTAGGGCTTAGGGTTTTTGGGTTTAGGAGTCCCGAATTTCGAGCCATGTAGGGCTTTCAGTTTCGGGGTTGGCCTGTTTGGTTTGGAGCTTGGGTGTTCAGCTCATGGTGGGTGAATGCCTTCGTGGCGTAACGTCATCTGTGCGACCTTTCCCGAAAACCCCGCTGATAAGTGCCTATGGCCCCTATACTACTCCACGGTCCTTCCACTGGTTCTCTCGCAGAACGGTACCTCTCCAGAAGCTTTCAGTTGTAAGGCTGTGCACGAAAGCCTGAAACCGCAGTTTCCCCGTGCATAATGTGCGGGTCGGAATAATAGGAACCGTATTCAATTACATGTCCCACATGGAACCTAGAAACCTTGAAACCTTCAGAGCTGCTACGGTCAGTATCTATGTCAATGTATGCATACATGTATGTATGCATGCGTGGATGCATGTATGTATTCACGTATCTATGAATAACGATATTGCAGGTATGCTGTCCTTCCTCTGAAGTGCCTGCAGTACCGTATCCTCTAACTCCAACATAAGAAGTTCACGACGGAAGGGTCGATGGGCACTAAGCCCTCAACCCGAAAGCTCAGGTTCACAGCCGCGACCTGGAAATCCGCGATTCCCGGAGAGAGTCCCAATGTGCACGCTACACCCCTTGAGGCCCTGCACCCAAACCTTGATTCCTGAATCCTCAAGCACGTATGCAACCCTCCTTGAGCCTAATAAGCCCTATGTGACCACTCTCATGCCTTGAGCCCTTATGTAACCCTAAAACCCTCCCCCCAATAAACCCTAACACCCTCAACCCTAAACCCCTAAACCCTACAGAACATGACACCCTAAACTCCCGAACCCCTAGAGGCCCTTATGTGACCCTAAGCCACCTTTACTAAACCCTAAACCCCTAAACCCTGAACCCTAGACCCAACCCCAAACCCCTAAACCCTAAACCCCTAAACCCTAGACCCCTAAACCCCTAGACCCCTCCCCAAACCCCTAGACCCTTATAGAACCTTATAGATCCCTTAAAGGAGCCCGAAACCCTTATAGAACCCTTTTTATGGATCCCTTGAAGGAACCCTAATAGATCCCTGAGAGGAGCCCTAAACCCCTAAGGGCACAGTTCTGCTTCATCGCCGCCATCTCGGCGATCTTCCGCTGGTTCGGACGTACGATGAGTAGCGCCTTGAAGGGCGGCTTGGGGTCCCTTAAAAGGTATCTATGGGGTTTAGGGTTAGGGGTGTAGGGGTTTAGGGGCTTTGGATTTAGGGCTTTAGGGATGTAGGGTTTAAGGGTTTAGGGCTTTAGGGGTGTAGGGGTTGAGGGGCTTAGGGGTTTAGGGCTTTAGGGGTCTAGGGTTTTGGTTTTTGGGATTTAGGGGCTTGGGCTTAAGGGGTTTTGCGGCTTGGGGGTTTAGGGTTTTAGAGGTTTAGGGTTTAGGGAGGCTGGGTATATGGGGGTTATACAAAAGTATTTCCTAAAGGTCCATGTATCCGCATACCTATATGATATGTGCATACCCTATGGCTTTAAAGGTACATAAACACACCCTAGGAGACTGCTTTTCGAGGGCTGCGTGTACGGGGCTGTTTAGGGTTCAGGGCTTCCGGGTTTAGTTTTTGAGGGTCGTAGACGATGCGTCTCGAAAGTGCTTTGGCCCCAATGCGAAGGAAGGTGACGACGGTTTGGCAAAGCTTCGAACGATGGGGTAGGTATGGCCTGCTCTGCAATTCTGAGCGCTATGGTAAAGGTTCTCCAGAGCTGAGTACATGAAACTCACATGTGTAGCTGTGTATTTACACTTTGCATCAACAGTCTAAATACATAGACGCAAGTAGTGACCAGCGATTGCAGAATATCTAGACAGAAATGCTTGTGGCAACATGGTCCGCCTCGCCTTTAAAATGCTCAGATGATGCTCACGTAACGGAGACTTGACTATAAAGGCGCACAGCTCCAGAAACGGAGAAGGAAAACACCAAAGAAGAACCCTAAACCCTAATCAACCCCTGAATGAGGCCCCTACACTTTGACCCTGACACGAAAGCCCGAATCGCACCAGTCCAAACCGTACACCCTACAACCGAAGCCCTCAACCCTAAGCCCTACAAACCCTAGGTGCAATGTCGAGGAGCTCGATAGAGACCGGAGCCCAACATCATCGCAATCCACACAAAGCCTTGAGCAGGAACTACTGTTCTCGTCAGTCATAACTTAAGAACGCTGAGAAGGACAACCCAACCGACTCTGTATGGGTTCAGGGGTTTAGGACTCTGAGCTCAAGGGCTTAGGGTTTGACGGAGACCTGTGTTGTAAGGGATTCAGGGCTTAATTGTATAGCGTTAGGACTGTAACTGTAGGAGGAGTGTAGGTGCAGTTGCACTTCTTCCGTGAATGTTCGAAGGGTTTGCGCGTTTCGGACTCAAGAAAACACTTCATCGTCGGCAGAGTTTCGCATGACCTGCCTGGACCCTGAAGAACCTACCTCTTCAAGGAAATCATCATAAGGAACCCTAAAAGGGGTAAGGTCGGTCAGGGTCCAGGTATGGGTTGAGGGTTTTGGGGATGCTACTGCTTCGTAGTAGCGAAATATTAATATGCAAGGCACTTACGCTCTCATCTTGCTCATCCTGGCTTTTCTTCACAGACCTACGTGGCCTAGAACCCTAAACCCTAAACCTAAGTAGTCCGATGTGCGAAGCCTCTTACAGTCGACCGGCGAATGCGTCGAACCGCCTTGGTGTGAGACTTCCGTTGAGGCATCTTCAACCACCATAGACGGCCTTCCTGCCTTCCTACCTGGTCAAACATGTGAAGATATCCGTAATTAACGAACACACCTTACATCACATATAAGGGATCCTACCATTTGTTGGGGCATATTCCGTGATTAAGGGATATTTTCACGAATCGGCTGAGACGAATTCGGGGCAGAGAGGCTGGGAGGCCCAGGCCGTGAGGACCCCTGAGGGTCTATGGCAAGCGTATGACCCCTTTCTGTATCGGTATGTTACATGGGTGCATGGGTTTAGGGTTTAGGGTTTCGGCGCATGGATCGAGGACCCCTAAGGCTTTCAAGGGAAGACTTCTTTTGAGGGTGGGTTTTTGGTTAGGGTCTGGCTTCGTTGCACCCGGCTTCCCCCAACAAAAAGAGATCTAAGTGCAGGACCGATGTTCCAGGTGGAGTAGGCAACATAGGCCCAACTTCCGATGGAGTTGAAGATGTACGTGAAATCCTCAGTCCAGCTGCAAACCCTAGTCTTGCTTCATGGAAAAACCAAACAGGGCATGACAGCTTCGGCTGAGCTTAGGGCAGCTATGGGTCTCCAGGCTCGAAACTACTTACCTGTGATTAGTTGGCAATGGAGGAATGGGATACAATTAGAACTATTATTACTACCATTCTTCCATTCCCTACTAACCAAAGGTAAAACTAGTGCAGCATGACATCGAACAACTTCTCAAGGTCTCTTGTGACCTTGTCAGCTGCATGCGGAAGATCGCAACGTCATCTAGAGCCAGAGACATGAACGTCAGTGCAGATCCTGACCCAAAGCCCACGAGCCTGAGCTTAGGATTTAAGATTTGGGGGGCCGACAAAAGAGCTTACGGCTAGCTTATGACTCTACGCTGGTCGTCCACTGATCCGAAACCTTACTACCCTGGACCCTGCATACGAGCCCTGTTTATCAGAATTTCTGCCTCATATAGAGGCCTTAAGAAGTAGAACAGGGCTTCGGGGCCCATTCTGCTATCATCATAAAGAGAAACCCCCAAACCAGCACAGCATATATAATTATGAAGGCCCCTACGTTAAACCTTCAGGGCTGTTGCTTTCGGAGGCATGGCGAGGGGCTGAGAACTCCGTGCCCAAGGCTTCGATGATTCCTTGCGCCGCTCTGGGAATTTAGGATTTAGGGTTTAGGATTTAGGGTTTAGGATTTATAGGGTTTAGGGTTTAGGATGTTGAGGTCTCTATTATAGGAGTTGTATTTAGGAACCCTCGTCAGGTATCTATAGTCTCCATTGTAGTTTCTTTTTTTGGTTAACCCAAAACTCTATTATAGGATCCTAACCACAAAACTGGTTAGCCAAAAAATGAACTACAATGGAGACTATAGGTAGGCTGTTGATTTTTCGGGGTGGTGTTGAAGTTGGGGACTAAGACTTTGCACATTGCGCTTAGGGCTTAGGGGTTTGGGGGACTCAGACTTAGGGCATTTCTGGGACTCAAGATTTAGAGAGTAGGATTCAGGACTTAGCAAATTAGCCGCCTTAGGGTCTGACAAGGCCCATTAATTGAAGCACGGAGTAGGCTGCAGAGATGAACGCGTCGTATCAGGCACTCTTCGGAAACCGTCTTCATCAACGAAGCTTGTGGTGCAGACAGCTTGTATTCTCGTGCAGGTCGTGAACAGGAACAGTTTCGTTCAGGATATGAGTTGGGACGCGTACTGTCCAAGCCGCAACCCACAGTCACAATGTCAGCTGAACCCTCAACCCTTCATCATGTATGGTGAAATCCGGTGCCAATTAACCTGCCTAGCTGCGTCATCTCCAAACCCCGCAGCCCCAAACTCCCCAACACTAGAGACAAAGGGCAGCCTCGAGCCGCAAAACCTTCCGGTGTACCCAAATCGGCTCCGAACCAAGAAAAACCGCATTCCGGAATCCAGACGTTGTCATGCTGCAGTTCTAAAAAAAGGCATCCAATTTGTGGCGCGGAGATCTCATTAAATAGTTGGGTCTGACGCCACAGTTATAGGAAGGTAGCAATGAAGAACTGGGTACCATAAAGAAAGACCCCTTCTAGCGGCTTCTAGCAGCTAAGTCCATCAAAAGCTGCTGCCCGTCTACCTTCTAAAAGCTGGAAGCCTTCGCGGGGAAAGTTGTCATCACTCATGGGAAGACCTTTGCAAGATTCCTACGCTTTAGGGATTCGGGTTTAGGGTTTAGGGTTCATACGCATCGAAGTCTGCCTGGCACATGGACGTGGATGGTGTTGGCTCCACACGAGGACAGGGCCTGCAGCAATGGGCTTGAGGCCGACAAGGCCGTCGGTCGACCGGTTCATCATCGTGATGATGACCGTTAGGGGTTGAGGTTTAGGGGTTTAGGGGTTTAGGGGTTTAGGGGTTTAGGGTTTAGGGTTTAGGGTTTAGGGTTTACGGGTTTAGGGGTTCAGGGGTTCAGGGGTTTAGGGGTTTAGGGTTTAGGGGTTTAGGGGTTTAGGGTTTAGGGTTTGATGATGATGATCACGATGGAGCTTGTGAGACGGATCTACATGTATGGACATATGCACTTGTACATAACTCTGCGTATGCATTCAGACCCAAACATCATGAAGACCCTCCAAATCCGGCAGTCTAAACCTTGGAACCTGCTCATCCACAGCCGGCCAAACAATCCCAACAACCCCCGGTGCAAGTATGCGTGCTTTGACTCAAAGTCTCAGGGACCTGTGTGGAAGCAATCTCAAGCCCTCAGCGCAACACCTACGTTCCTGAAAGCCGTGATCCGGAAACCCGACGAAACCCAAAGCCTTGCAGGCCAAACCCCACAGAACCCTTCTAAGATCACCTCATAGATGTCCTTCTTGTACCCTTATAAGATCCATATGAAGCCCAATGTAGGATCCTTTTTCAGACCCTCCAAAACCCATTCTACAACCCCCCTTCTCAGGCCTTTCTGAACCCGCCACAATCTGCTTACACAGCCCCTATTGGCCCTTCTTGGACGCCGGGCCAAAAGGAGCCCTGCAGAACCAAGAGGAAGGATAGGCAGGGTTCTCTTTAAGACTTCAACAAAATAAGAACGCTTCTGTAACGGCTGCAACTCGAGGCTTCAGAGTTACCCCTGACCTACCCTGAACCCTAAAACCAAAAACCACTAAACCCTAAACCCTAAACCCTAAGCCCACCTCTGCTGCTTCATCGTGGGAAAGGCCTCCTTGTGTCAGCACGCGATGTGCCTCCTGAAGGGCGGGTTGCGGCGACGTTTGCAGACTCATCCCAGGATGCCCAGTAACCTAGGAATAAAAAGGGCTCCCTTTTTGGGGTGTTGGGTAGCTTCATAAGGAACCTAGGGCTCCAAAAAGGGAATAAGGGTACTACTGGGCATCCTAGCATCCTGTCATTTGAAGGTCCAGGGTCCATGTGATGTATATTTACGACAACTTGGTGATCTTCAGAGTGAGGGTCCTGCTACCTACCCATAGGCCCCAAAGTAGTTCCTTTCTGGGATTACCTTATAGGGTTCTAAATAGGGTAGAGCCCGTATCATAAGAGTCCCTTCTCGTCTCCCGGCTGAGTCTATGACATCCGGGCTGGGGCTTCGAGCGTTGTTTCACTGCTGCTGAGCTCGCTAGGATCTTGTGTGTATAGACGCACACACATCTCTACATAGAAATAAAAACTGAGATATACATAGATCATATGTACATAGATATGTCATTATCGAAACAATGTCACCCAAGAAGCAGCTGCGACTGCAGGTACAACATAAACCCTGAGTCTGGAACGCTGCGCCCTAAACGTTCAACCCGAAAGACTGAAACCTTACGATCCAGCACCCTACGCCCAAAAACCTGAAACGCTCTTCCGCCGCATGCACCCCATACCCTGCACTCCCAACCTTTGGAACCATATGCCCCTGAAGCCCTGAAACCCTGTAACTCTAAACGCTCAAAACCCTTAACCCTACACCCTGAACCCTATAAACACTGAACCCTACTCCCTGAACTGACCCTGAACCCTCTAAACCCTGAACTAACCCTGAACCAGAAAAGAAATCAGAGCCCTGCCTGTGCATAAACCATACATCCCATAAACCCTGAACCTAAAACACTGAGCCCCATAAACCCTGAACCCAAAACATTGAACCCTCTGAATCCAAAAAACCCGAAGAAAGGATCAAAACCCCATAAACCCTGAACCCAAAACACTGAACCCTTTGAACCCAAAAATCAAAGCCCTGCCTGTGCATTGGGTTCGAGGAGTCCCATGGGTACGAAGGAGCCCGACTCGTCACCTGGCGCGCCATGAGGGTTTTGGGCTTATAGGGTTCAGGGGTTAGGCTTTGTAGGGATACAGGGTTTATAGGGTTTAAGGATTAGGCATTGCAGGGTTATAGGGTTTGAGGTTTAGGGCTGCAACCTGAGGAGCCTTACTTAAAGGCTCATGGGACTGAGTAACTATAGGATTCCTTAAAAGGGTTACTTAAAGGGATCTATAAAGGTTCTATAGCATAGGGGCTTACTGAAGTTGATGATAGAAAACCTGCATTCATTTGAAGGGATCTATAAGGGTACCTTTAAGTTTAAGGGGTTCCTCTAAGGGATCTATAGGATTTTAGGGCTTAGGGATATAATGGCTTACTTAAAGGATCACGGGACTTAGTACAGTAACTATACGGTTCCTTAACGGGTTCCGTAAAAGGGATCTATAAGGGGCCTTTTCGGCTTACTATGAGGGTTTTGGGCTTATCGGGTTTAAAAGTTTGGCTTTATAGGGCTTTGGGCTTATAGGCTCTTGGGCTTATAGGGTTCAAGGTTTAGGCTTTAAATGGTTTTGGGCATTTAGCGTTTGCGTTTTAGGGCTGCAACCTGGGGAGCCCCACTTGAAGGATCATGGGACTTCGTGCGGTGACTGAACGGTTCCTTAAAGGGTTCCGAAAAAAGGATTTATAAGGGGTCTTTTAGGCTTACTATGAGGGTTTTGAGATTGATGATATAACTCCTGCATTACCCATCATAGGGAATATGCTAGAATTCCCATACTTAAAGTTATGCAGGATTTGTATATCAACCCTAGGAGCCAAGAGACTACAATATCCCTTCATTAAGAAAAATAATGTAAATCATCTTACGGATCCTTCTATAATTTAAGGAATATTACGTAATTAAGGGATATTGGAGTCTCTGGAAGGGTTTAGGACTTGTAGGATTTAGGGCTTGCGGAATTTAGGGTTTAGGGATTTTGGGGGTTTTACTGTTTAGGGTTTGGGGTTTAGCAGTAAGCGTTTACTGGTTAGGGCTTAGGGTTGAGGGGTTAGGGACCTTTCTATCGGGTTGCTTTACAGGGTTGATGTTTGCAGGGTTCCTACATGGGATACTATAAGAGTTCTGTGCTAGAAGGGTTGAGTTCTGCGTAGCTGCGAAAGCCATGTTCCCAGTAACCATACAGTGGGTTCACAAAAAGCGTACCGCAGTTCAGAGTGCAAGGATTCAAAGGGTGTCTTCTACTATGGCTTACGTGTACTGACTATAAGGCTTACTGAGGTTCCTCTAAGGATTTCATGTTGCGGTTTAGAGTACCAGGGCTACTACAAGCGTACTAGTAGAGGTCTGAAAGGGTCGGAGCGGGGCTTCGTGTACCATGTGTTTGTTGAATTCCAGCCAGAGCTGAGGTGCCCCATACGACGCACGAAGGCACAGCGGAGCTTTTCTAAGCTCCTGCTATCGCTCCGCGGAAGCTCTCTGCACAGACGCTTCCCGTAAACGAAAGACCCGGTCCAGGAGGAAGGCCACATGCATCGAATTGGTGGGATCCTGCACGATGGTTTAGGGTTCAGTGTTCAGTTCGTCTGTCTTTGGGTGTATGTGTATGTGTGTGCGTGTAGAAGTTGTAGCACTGATATTTCGGGTACCGTGGCCGAAGACAGGTTTCGTTACAACACCTCCGAAGGACATCCCGAAGACAGGTTTCGTTACAACCCCTCCGTAGATTTTCGAGGAACACCTGGGAAGCAGTGAATTCGACAGAGACAGTCTGGTAGCTGAGGACAAGTATGTGTATGACTATCTTTTGTTTCGTGCGTATGTGCCAATATTGTGCGCATAGAAAGAGGCGCACCAGCATGCATTCATTGTACACAAAAATTTCGAACATACAAATGAAGCTACAGTGATCAGAAGGAACTAACTGACTAGAATTTCGATTCGATCTGGCCCCATACATTCGTTAGTGTTGCGCTCCTGCTTCCATCCGTGATCGCCAGGGAAAATGTAGATCTCCCAGCCGGGACACTCTTGGAACCTCATTGCATGAACTTTGTTCGCGGCTTCCACAGGATTGGTGTACTAGAGCTCAGCCTCTTACGGTGGGCCTAGGTATGTACTATGTTATGCATTGAGCTTCTGCTAGACTATAGTGACGGTCGTGGTGTAGATTTGTTGTTTCGGAAACACCCGACTAGGACTCCAAAGTTTCAGGACATATGATCTACAAGGAGACATGGCAATGCAGAGATTCCACATGGACACTTACGATCCTACCCACGTTTTTGCGGACCACCGGAAATGAACTCATTTGAAAACTTTGCCTCGCCTCCGACGGTTTGCAACCAGCAAGATCAGCTATAGATGGTCTATTAACTTTCTCGGTAGACGGCTTACGGGAGGAATTTATTTAGCCTCCTGCACTGCACATCAACGAAGGTGAACCAAGTAGCTCAAAACTACCATGGACAATGCCAATCTAATATCGTTTACCAGCCCAGCGCTAAAAACAGAAGCTCTAACTAACCCTATAAACCCTTGGACCCGAAAACTCTGCCACTCGAGACACACCCCAAACCCTAAACCCTATACCCAAGACTCTAAATCCTAAACTCTGAAGCTAGGATGACGAGATACCGTGCCCCTGTGGTGGTAGCAAACTCACGCCGGACGAGCGGTCCACAGATTCCCGCCTCCTCGGGGGAGGGTTTCGGGTTTCAGGGCTTCGGGTTTGGGGTTTCGGGAATCGAAACTTAGAGTTTGGAGTTTGGGCTTTAGGGCTTCGGGGTTCGAGGTTTAGGGTACCGGGTTTTGGGGTTTTGGGTTCAGGGTATATAGGGTTACGTGGCTGAACCTAAATTTTAAGCCCGAAACACTCACCCTGCATCCGAATCAACCGCTTGGCCCGAAAGCCCTGCAGACCAGCAGACTTCACCCCAAAAGATAGTCTGCAACCAGTCAAACGCGAAGCTTTCACGAATCCCGCGCCTCAAAGGCCGAGGGATCGTAAGCTCCAAAGCTCTAAACCAGCTTGTAACGGCATCTGCTCCCCAGATTCTCAGCTCAGAAATCCCCTAAACCCTCAACTAAACCCTAAACCCTAAACTCTAAACCCCTAAACCCTAAACCCTCAACCCAGTGCGCCGCTCCTCCATCATATCAAGAATCAGCATTTGCTCGTCAGAGCTGCTCCCGACACCGATGACGATGGGGGAGATCTTGTGTCCTTGCTTGGAAGGTCGGGGGACTTAGTAACACAATGGGTTCCTTAAGGGCCCTTTTAAAGGGATCTATAGGGATTCTATAAGGGTATAGGGTTTAGGGTTTAGAGTGCTTGGAAGGTCGGGGGACTTAGTAACTGGATATTTTAAGGACTTATAGGTACCATAACCCCAATTAGGGTCCCTTTTAGGACTTCCTACCTACTTACTAAGTCCCCCGACCCTCCAAGTGGCTCTTATATTACAGTATGTCATAGTACAACATCGTATATCATAGTTCATATTCAGTATGCTCTGGTGCATGGCCCTTCCATGGATTGAGGATAACATGCAGACAGCAAAGGCCACATGCAGAAATAGACAGGCCCTCTCCAAGCTCCGGCTTGGGGGTTCTGGTCTCTTCCTAAACCAACGCGTGCTAAGTACCTACATCCCATGTAAGTGCTTAGGATACTTTGGGTAAAGTGCTCTGGCGAATCCCCAGAGAGGAGGGGGGGGGGGGGGGTCAAAAAAAGGCAAGTCGCGCCGTAGGATGCTCATGCTGTCCAGCCACTGCTCCTCCGGAAACCATGGTCATAGCCAACTCCAGGGGCTAAACATCCGCTTTGCAGGAAATTCGCTTTAAAACAACCCGCCCCTCCCTCTCCATGCATACACACACTCATGCAGTCATTGTGACATTAATAGGCAGATAGGGAGGTAAGCTTGCAGGGTTTTTTGATCCGGGTTAAGGAATACGATAGAGCCCTCGTCATAGTCGATTCTGAAATCTCTGGGATTCACTGCTGAAGTCACCAACACCCCGAACTAGAAGCTGAAACTTGTGCTCAAGACCAACTCCCAAGTCCATGTGAATGTGGCGGGGGTGGGTGCGGGGCACGGGGCATTTCGTCGTTTGTGTCCGTCTCAAGCTTGCTTGTACAGCACGAAAGCCCTCAAAAGCCGATGCCCCTGAACCATAACCCTTCAACATGTAATTTACCCCCCCCCCCACCTACATAAACCCTTAAAATCAAACACATACCAAAGCAACAACACGGGAAGCCCCTAAATCCAACCCTAAACCCTGAACCCCAAACCCTAAAATCTCGGAGCCCCCCTGGGCAGCAAAAAGCCCCCAAATCCCCACAAGGAGCCAAGCAGATGGCAAGCGACACCTCCCACGTCTGGCTGGCTGCGGCGATGTGATCGCAGCTGTTCCTGAGTCTGAAAATGCTGGGCTTCACGATGGGTTTACGGTTTGATTCAGGGGTCTTCAATCTTCTTCCGGATATGTTTTGTGAGTGGTTTGGGGCTTAGGCGTGCAAGGCCGTCTTGAGACCCTGCTAAGCCCTTATCCAGCCCCAAATGATAAATGATTAAGATCTTAGGTGAGACTCTCTCTTGGGATTTCGGGAGCGGGGGTCCTTTGTGGTTCAGAATAAGGATACCACTACTAGGGCACATAGTGTTTATATTCGAGCCTCCTTATCTTCGGAAACTCACACTTGCACGAAGGAACAACATCTCGCAGGGCTCCAGCAGTGCAGTTAGATGGGGTTAGGTCTTAGGGCCAAATCCACCACCAAACCCCTGTCAAGACTTTCCATCGCACAAGACATAAATTAGAGTTTGGTGTTCAGTGCTAAGAGTCCCACGCATCCGATGTAGATCTCAACTTCAGTGTCCAAGAAGCCCTGAATCCTGAAACGTCGAAAGCCTAGAGCCCCACAGCTGCTAAAAATCCCAAGACCCCCAAAGGTCGGAGTGCGTGTATAAGCCCTGTTCCTACAGTCCTACAGAACCCCCGAAGCCCCGCTATTTCAACGGGG